GGTGCTGTGTTGTGGTTCTGGTGCTGTTCAGCTAGGAGTTTCCTGAGAGCATTCAACGAATTGTTAGTGATCGCCAAAAGAGGTGTTTTTTTAGCTAGCGAGAAGCAACCAGGTTTCGTAGCGAAAAAGAGACAGTGCTTATTTTTCACATTTTAAACTTGTTCGGGAAGAGGGATCTGTTGTTGAACATGCGCACCCGCGCGGTATGCGCGGAAGTTTCCGGAAGGTTTTGTGGCTAGGTGGTGTTGTGTTCCTCTCTTTCTGTTTTTTTTTTTCCGCAGAACCAATACTCGCAGAAGCCACACTTCTAAGACGTAAGCCGCGGAAGCGAGACGGAACACCGGCCCGCGGCGAAAAAAAACGCGGAAGGGTCCAATCAAGAGTAAGGGGAACAAAAGTCATCGCTGAGTATCGGGTGTTTTTGGAGTTGGTGCCCTTTTGAGGTTGGTTGTTTTGATGGAGACCCACGTTGAAAGAACACCGGTCTCCATTTTGGGGGTCCCTTTAGATCCCTTGTCACCTCAGTTTGGCACAGATGCATCCACGTCGAGTGGGTTGAGGGTGTGCACTCGATTGCGTTTGTTTGATCCATTTATTATTTCTGATGCATGTGCGTGCCGTTCCCAAAGCCACAATACAAAGCTCAGAGTGTTCGTCAAACGAGTTCTGAATCTCGGTGAACGTTTGGCAACATCTGACATCATTACGGCTGTTCAAAGTCAAGCCCGAATCCTTTCCTTGGTAATTTAAAGTCCCTCCTTTGCAGCAAGTTCCCCTAAGGATTGAGGGTTAGAGTTAGGATTGGCTAGCCTCTCATTTTGAGTCTTGGTAAATGTCCAACATCTTGCAGAACAATCCTCTACTAAAGAACTCTGGTAAGAAAGCACTAAATGCCAGTTTAAGTGTCGACGAGCGGCGTTGAGTCGTGGCTTGCTTCGAGCGAGGTTCTTGAGAATGCCGCAGACAGCAGGCAGTTGATGCAGTTGGCAGGCTCGGGCTTGTTGTTTTTCTTGTTGTTGTTTTTTGGTTTTTTGAAATGTTTTACAAGGTGCAACATTAGGGTGGGAAATATATAATGCCAAAGCTGGGGCGTGAGCAAGCCCCACGTGGCTTTTTTTTGGGCCTTCCTTGGGGGCAGACTTTGGCGCAGTTGCCCGGTGGCACGAGCCCTATCGCCTTTTCATTTGCGTGGGGTTCCATTTGCAGCCTAGACCACAGGATTCCCTCTTTCCGCACGTCCTGAAGAAACACAGATTGCGCGCTCTGTTGGAAGGTTCGCTCCCTTGATATTGCGTATGGGACCATATTGGATTCCATGGGTAATAATCTTGCTGGTGCTCAGTAGGAAATGAGGGAATGAATTCAGGGATTCCCTTAAAGGAAACCACGAGTTGGATGGTTTACAGGGTTCAACTCATTCCCTATCGCACCAGAAAGTAATTTGCAGATGCAAGGCGTCAATTCGCACCCCGTGTTTCTTGGTTCGGTGGCCTTCACTTTGCCACTTCGGCTGCTCAGAGACCCTGCAACACGCGTTTGGGCACGCGTAAACCGCGCGCGTTGTTTTTCTGGACAGATGGGAAAATGGACTTCACCGAGTAAAACAGCGCAGCTACTAAGTGACCTTCCAATGTCCTTGTGCTCCTGTCCTAAGTGGGTGCCTCTGAGCAATGGAAAACGTGGGTCGCTTGCCGAAATTTGCTAATCGGCCAGCGGGAGCTGGAAGACGTCAGCATCTAAGGAGGTCAAAGGCAATGCCCAACGGAAGTTGTTTCTCAGAAACGAAGTCAAACTTTTGGGGTAGAGCAACGTGGATCCAACGGAAGGGGTTCAGACCCCGAACCTCCAATTCCAACCACTTGGCCTGAAAATAGGCTCGGTGCAACTCTGAAAACCAAAACATCGGGCCTCCCAGCCCTCCGTCCTTGGTGGTGCCCCTTGTGAGGCATCCAGAGTCTGCGAGCTGCCAATCTGCCTCGCTACTGGAAATTGTCAGGCCTCTCGAGGCACCGGCGCTCGACTCGATGGTCTCCATCCGGCGAAGTGTCATGGGGAGGGTCGGCAACTCCTTTTCTTGGGGTGGGTTGGGGGCATTTGGGGATGCGGAGCTTGTTTGGCGTTTTGTTGGTGCTTTTGAGGGGGAGGGCACTCATTTTGTTCGTGTTCCATACACTTTGCGGAGGCAGCAGGCAGCCATCCGTGGTAGAACAAGCTTAACTATGAAAGCTCTTTAGGCGGATCTCTTGTCTTCAGGCGAATATGCAGACATTTGCTCAGGTGGATCTTAAGGTGGTTATTGATTCTCGTCTTCTTTTGGTCGCCCTTTCATTTTCATCCGACTGCGAGAGACCTTTTGCCCTCTGGCGAAGCTGAATGGCCAGTACTGCTCCAGCGGGTTTCTCACAGTCGTAGCAAACCTCATTGGGTTTAGCGTTCAGAAACCGCATTCGAAGCAGATGCAAATCTGGAAACCAAAGTAAGCCTTCCATGCCATGGGATTTCCTGATTATCCTTTGCGACTCCCCTTCATTATCCAGATTCTTCCCTTCTGCGCCTTTCAGCGCAAGCCCGGCTTGCAATTGACTGGCCCCTGAACAAGCTGCCGTCAGGTGCTTTCGCCGGACCACCCAGACTCGCCGCGGCTTGAGGGTTCTTCTGAATGTGGTGGTGCCGACCGCTGCGTGGCTCGGAGTTGTGGAGCTTGCCGCCCTTGGCCGTGTCGCAGCTTGGGGCCCCTTCAAATGGCTAGGCTGGCTGAATCGCTCAGGGACGGTGATAAGGGATAGTCCAAAGTGAAACAAGTGGAGGGTGTCTGCGGGTATGTCCAATCAAGTTACGGTGGTTGTTTTTTTGTGCTGTTTTTTTTTGGAATTGCCCAGTTCGCGTTGACACAAAGGCGAATGGGAGGTGGTTTGCACCGAAGCAAAAGGCTGGAATGTGTTTCCCGAAAAGGCAATGGCAGTCGATCTGTGCAAATGTTCAGCTTCCCTCCCATTGGTGGTTTGGATTGGTGGTTTGAAGGTTCAGGATTTTACTGTTTACAGGAAGCAGGGGTTCAAATCCCAAACCACCAATCCGAACCACCAACGAAGGGATTCCTGAAATTTTGGGATTGCTTAAAGACCGTTTGCGTCCTGTTGCTATGCCGGAGAAGCTATGACACAGGATATGTTGATGGGGAGACGTATGCCCTTTCTCCAAAACAGAGAACAGGGGGAAGGTATCTGGAAGATCAACGTGCTCTTGAAGGGAACCTCTGTCAGGTGCCAGGTTTTTGGAAGGGAGGGTATTCCGCTTTCGCAAGGATCAACCGTTGCAGCTGGCCATTTAAACCGAACATGGGGCGTTTGGAGGGAAGACAATGACACCATGCTGGGTGGCAGAAGGCATGACCTTGTGCAGGGCTCCTTAAAAGATACATTTTGCCTCTTTGAAACATGGTTTTTTCCACCAAAAAAAAAGGACACCACCATTTACAAGGCAACGTTCAGGTGTACAATGTAAGGATCCTTGTTGTGTGGCAGTCGCGTACCAAGTCACCGAAGACTTCGGAAGCGAACAAAAAAAGTGCAGCTCCGTGAGCCGTCCGAAGCAAGGGCTTGTCGCTTTTGGGTGTTTATCCCCCCAAAAGCCCATCCCTTATTAACCATCTGAGTGAATTGTAACGACCTCACACGACCGAATTCACCTGTAATGGTGGTTTGTGTGGGGAATTGCCCCCCAACCACCTGATTTGTGATTGGTGAAGTATTATAATTTATCCAGAACCATGGTCTCATGAACATGTGATCATGTTCTGCCGCCCAAGGCGTCGCTCACCGATTAGACATCGCCCTTGGGCCATGACTCGTAGGTTCCACTAGTTTTGGTGATGGAGAATTGGTTACGGAACAAATCCGCCCTTTACAAATGTAACTGAAATACATCACTTGTGGATGGGATATTTGGGCCAGAACATAAGCTTGGTTGCCAGCTTTCGAGTATCCGGTGAGTGAGTCCTGTAAGAAATGTCGCCTTGTAGGTTCCCCGGTAGTGCCCTTTTACCCTTTTTTGGGGGAGGATTCCCCTAAAAGAAATCGGGTACCAACTTATTCTAACCTCTCAAATCTGGAGGACCTAGTCTAGGCGGTGATGGTTTTTGTCAGTGACAGGTGCGGCCTTGGCGTACATTGGCTTGCGTGCTCCTGGTACGCCGTGGGTATTGTCGAGCTCCCTGAGGAGGCTCCCATGTTCGACGCCCGGAATCAGATCACGGGAAACGGTTTTCCTCAGACTCGCTGGGTACACTTTGCGAATCCACGGGTTTGTGATAGTGATCTTTAGAGAAGCCACAGAAGATGGTTCTTTTGAAGGGCACAGCACAGCTGGATAGGAATCTGTAAGGATTTGACCAGTGTCACTCGCATTCTCAGGCAAGTATTTTGTTTTTTTTTGCAAGCTGGTATATGGGACAAGCATAATCAACATGAGCCAATTGAGCAATTATAGGTTAGGAGGTTGTTCCTTGCCTGCCTGAAGTGCTTTCAATGGCTGATTGAAGGCAAGCTACACAGTTCGCCAGCTACCTGGTTAGATAATTAGCTTTGGGAGTGAGCCGGCTAGCTAGGTAGCTGCTTAGCTTGCCCCACGCTTGCCTTGAGTTCGCATTTTTTGCTACCCAGTTCTTGATCGCCTCCGCTTGGAGTTGAAGCGCCAGCTTACCTCAGGCTCGGCCCAAGTAAGCGGGGAAGCACTGCCTAGGGCCACCCGTCGCGAAGCACTGGTTCTCGGTGGCGCAAGACGGCGTGACAGTCCGGGAACGGAGCTTCCTCGGCTCTTCCCGTGAGAGGGGCCTCGCCGTAGAGCAGAAAGGCCACTCACAGCTAGTGGTTGCGAGAGCCAACGCCGGGTTGGACGCAGCCAACGAGATAGGCAGCTCGTTCAACTTGCCAGGCCACTTTGCAAGTTAACTGGCTAGTCCGCCAGTTTACAAGCTAGGCTCGTTAAGCTGGCTGGGCACTTCGCTGGTAACTGGGAAGCTAGCGTGCGAGTTAGCTTTAAACGTTAGCTAGCCAGCTAGCCAGTTGCGCAGGCCAGGTAGCTAGTTTCCGGTTTGCCTAAGAGTTCTTCGCATGGCGAATTGGGTTGAATAAATTCGCTGGTTAGCCCGAGAGTAAGCTACTTTGTGAGCTGGCAAGCTGGCTCGTGATCCAGCTTGGTAGTTGGATAGCCAATTCGCGAATTAGATCTGCTGCTTAGCCCTTTCGACAGCTAGCTAGCCGATGAGCAAGGCAAACAAAATCAAACGCCAGGTGTTTGAGGGCCAACCCTTGCCCACTTCCAGTCCTCGATTCCCGTGGTTTCGTGAAAGCGAAGCTCAGTTGGTTCCAGCGCCACAGAAGTTCCTCCCAAAGTTGCCGGACAAATGCTCGCAACATCGTCATCGCACGTTTTCACATGGGACTCATCATGCTCATTGTCGGAAAAAAGTTATCAGCATAGTTAGCATCAGCCCCAGCACCATCATCATCCTCGCCGTCATCATCCTCATGACCAACATTGTCAGAACAAATATGATCCACAGCATTTGCTTATGCGTGTGTGCTTCTGTTTTTTGAGTCTGCCCTTGTCAGGAAAAAAAGACAAGGAGAACACTATCTTTGGGCTCCTCCCATTTTGACACATACCAGTATTTAACGTAATGACATGACCATGTTGGTTTCATCACCCGTTGCCGGTTGATATGCTTTTACCCGCGCGCTGAGGAAAAGTATCAGACCGCATTTACCTGGGCGGTATCACGCCTACATCCTTTGAATACTTCAGAGCCTTGGCATTGCCCTGAAGAACAGGTTGGACAACGTGGTGGATAACCCACATCGTTTCTGTTTTCCCCGTGGCGAGGTCGGACGGGATAGAACAAGCGTGAAGGATGTTTGACAGTTCTGTCGAGAGGGCAGCTTGTTCATGAAGGAAAGATGCTGGCACTGGAGAGCCAACATGTGAGAGGTGAAGTGAATAGAGAGCGGCGCAAGGGAGATGGGCGAGGCTGAGAAGGGACCTTCAAAGACTCTAATGCACGTTAGGTTTGTCAAAGCTATGGATCCCATGTATGGACCCCTCAAAAGCAGGACAAGATGGGTTCCCTCAGGTTGTTTGTGCTCATTTGCCATCTGCTTGCTTGGCATAAATCTCTAGATGTTCCTTTCTGGCCTCGTTGATTTGCTTTGGCATCCTGGCCTGGCCCTGGCAATGTCCATGTCAAAACCGGGGTCCCTCCCACAAAAGAAAGAACCTGGCCTTCCTTTTTCCCTCGAAAGGAGAAGGAATCGGTCTTTCGTCTATAGGTGTTCGAACGCCCGCCGGATGCGTTTGCCATAACTCGGACTTGGGGAGCGAAGGAAGCCGGAGCTCAACGCTCCCCACTTCTCATAAGGTCAATTGAGCAGCGGTGGAACATAAGAAGGACATGGCCAAGCAATCTATGAGGTGTCTGTTGCTAGATTCTATGTATTCTATGATGTGTCTCCTTGTGCTAATAATACATCTATAAAACCTAGACAAAGTGATGCTGAGAAGAATTGATTAATTGCTATCTTCATCGCTTTTTGGTTGCCATCAACATTTTCCTTTTTGTATCAAACATATCTATCTTCTGATGATTGCCACGCCATTCAATCAAATCCAGGATGTTGGATGGGATGTGTGAATGGCGGCTGCTGCCATAAGAAGCAGAGCGGAGATAAGGTCCACTTCTTTCACTTTACGTTTCCTTTCTCTCCGCTACCTTTGGTCCCAGATTGAGAAGTTCTTGAGAAGATGTTCACCATCCGTTGACACGCTTTATCTAATGGAAAAAGACGGCACGATTATTTCGTTCAAGAATGCCGTGTCTTTTTGTTCAAGCGAATTGTCCCAATTCGCGACGCAAAGGGTTTAACATTCTTATTCTCCCTTGCACCGAAGGGTGGACGACACAGGCGTCCACACATAGGCTTCCACTTTTTTCGTGTGTGCCCCCCCCCCCATATGTCCCCCCCTCAAATATATGAGGTGGCACCCGAACAAATTCAAACAAACGGACATACAAACCAGAATCAGCAGGTCATCAAATCAAGGCGGGTTTTATATCGGAATTCTCCAGGCAAGTACACACCCGAACCCATCCCCTTTCTGACATTGGAATTCCTCTTCATCCCGTTCGCATCGCTTTTCAAGCTTGTCATTTCTCTCACCAATCCACAGTTAATGACCAAGAAAGGAAAGTAGATTGGAGAAATGAAAAAAGTGATAGATCAATATATTCGTTACGTCGTCCGGCCTCGCCGTTACCATAGTGTTAACTATTATTTAATTTACAATTTCTATCATATATTGGTGGATGCGATGCATCCATCATGATAACCATCTATTTCTTTCCTTGTCTCTGTACCAACCAAACGTGGTCCAACATGAGATGGAAGACTGGAATGAAACGAGACTAGGTTTGTTTCTCTCTCCGCTGTCCACACTCCTTTCGTAACAGGATTCTAGGTTGAGAGACTATACTTTTTTGCATTTTGCGTGGATGTTAATAACTTGTTGCCAACTAATGGGTTGTCCCATGGTCACTTTTAGCAGGGGAGCAGCAAAAAGGCAACCGAGTATAGACACGGCAGAATGAAGCACTATTCCCTTCCTATCGCCAAGTTAAGTTGAGACTCAAGCAGGCAGCCAAAGGATATGAATGCAGCTATGCGGGCAATCTCTATTTACTGCATGCGAGCCCGTGTCTCTACGTGTGCGATGGAACCAATCTCTTGCATGCGAGGTTTCAAGTGTCTCAGTGTGCGATGAAACCACGACATAGAGAGCGGGCAATCATTTCATTTTGGTGGTTTCGGAAGACACACTATGTAAAGAGGATGGGCTGAAAAGAAGGCGGAACCTGGAAACAATCGCAGATGTAGCCCAACGGCCGAGAGCTGGGGCAGTATGCTGTCATTCTAATTCTAGTTGATAGTTCCCAGGAATTCCAAATGAAGGACAATAGGAAAGTTAGTGGGATTCCAAGCAAGAATCATGAAGGAAGATGTCCATGAGCGACCAATTCTCAGAGCTCCTACTGGACAACTTCTTGGTGATATTGTGTATTGATGGATCCGGAAGACTCACATCACAGCTTGGAAGCTTTTCCATCTCCAACTTCCGGATCTCCCAAATCAGTGAAAATGCAAGGGCGAACCACTCACTAAGACTCGCTCATCCAGTCTGGGCGTGCCCTCGCTATTTTTCCCTTCCTGTATTTTCGCCAATGTAGATATTTATGTATAAAAGATTGGACATAAATTAATAATTGATGGAGACGATAACAGATAAGAAACAAAAAAGTAAAGCGATACATAAAGGGCTTCAAGCCTTACAATCATCCCGCTATTCTAGAGCGTGCCAAAGATGATTGAGGATGGAATTCCAAGGGAAACAAATAGAGGAATTCCCACTTCCTGTCTCTTTCTATCACGGTGCGGACTCAAATCTGATGCAAATCCTGGCTGAGAGCTGTGTCAAAAGGCAGCACTTGACAGAGATACCGAGAACCGTTCTGGCCACGGTTGCGGAAGGCTCGGCTTCGGCCACTTTCCTGCCGAGGGAATCATCGATGATGATCAACCACTAGATGGTTTTACAGATTTCAGAGCCTTCCATGTTTCGCACGAAGATTCCGTTTACATGCGTTCCATACTTGTCTTGTTCCATGTCCCATCAACAGACTTCCTGGGTTATGTCTTTATGTCCAACAGTGGAAGCCAAACATGGAAACCATTGGGTTCCGTTCATTTGAAGTGGATGTGCAACATGGTCAGCGCCAAACTGAGCTCGCTTGTTTCCCTGCCCTTCCAGGGCCTCCGAATTTGCCCCTAGCGGGACTGTTCGAAGATCACATTCCTCGCGGCAAGGAACATTCCCACAGCAATCCACCTGCAAAATGGCAAGAGGGCAAGAAACAGCAATCGGCTAGAGTCCCATAGTCCATCTTTCTTGGCTTCGAGGTGATGGTTTTCCCCAAGCTCCAGTCTGAGTCTCGATCGGTTTTCCCTAAGATTCGGGAAGCGGCGAGACCCGAGGAGAACATGCAGCTGGAAAGCTTTGAGCAGCGAGCCCTGGCTCTGCTGGGCACTGGGATCGCGCCTTGGCCGCGAACCCGTCCTATCAAAAGGACATGGTCCCCTCAAGCGATACGCAATCCCCGACGAAAAGGGCACACCCCCTGTCAAAAAAACGGGGTGTGCCACTGTAACCCGACGAGTTCCCCAGTCGCCGAGCTCTACACTTTTGGGAGTAGCTTGACAAAACGTGACCTTCGGCACATCAACTTGGCGTTTCTGCGCGTATCAGGCTATGCCAAATCCATTGCGCATGCGGCTAAACCGGTAGGCCCCAAAATGCAGGTCCTCTGAGGAACATGCAGGTTCTTTTTGCGGAAATGTCGACTGGTGTTTCCCTTGGTGCAGACAAGGGTTGGCCTCCGGAGAAGCAACGAAAAAGGGTGAGGAGCAGAGGTTCGTTGTTTTCGAGGTATCGGTGCTGTTTCACTTTTCTACGTTTGTGGTTGAGAATCAGTGGTTGGTCCTATCAGCCTGTGGTCGTGTCAGCTATGAGCTGGCAAGTATGGGAGTCAGTTCTCAGCGTCGGAAACCATGGCGTCCCAGCAACTGTTTGTCCCATGCCCTCTTGGGGAACAAAGCACAAAAGTCCCTGGCTTACATCGTACCAAGACAACCACAATGGCAGGCAAGCATAGACTTCTACTGTTGTACAGCCGAGGGAGAGAGCCGCCGGCCTGCAGGTGAAAAGGGAAAGCAAAGAAACTCGCATGGTGTAGGAATGAAGGCACATCCAAACGTGGACCTCCCTTAGCGGATTGGGGCCTCTGTGCGCTGACCATGTCTGGAGGGGTCCCACATCACGGTGTTCCTGGCGGTTTCCCTTTAAACCAAACCTAGAAAGCGGCACCCTCAACAAAAGCAGACTAGTTTGAGGAACTCTATTGGCTACTGTAGGAAGTGATTCTACCTGGTTTGATTTGGAGAATGATAAGGACTACTGTATATGATAGTGTCTTTTTGAGGGTGCCCTTTTGGTTTTAATAGGAAACCACAAGGAAGACAACCATTTTGAGGCCCTGTAGTTTTTAGACAAACTCATACAAACCTTCGTGACATTCAAACGGACCAGCCTTGGACGAAAGTCGGACCTGCGCCTATTAGCTGATTTCAAGTCCCCCAGCGGGGACAAGATGAGGTGGGTCCGACGTGGGTCCGAGTTTCCCTTTGAGACATCATGTGGCTGTGGTCAAAACCAATGGTACCATTTTGGGGTAGGTGCATCATTCATTTTAGTCTATTTTAGCGGGGATTGGCATGTTCACTGGGGGTACGGGATTTTGACCATGGCCATGTTGGTATTTTAGTGGTGAACAAGACCAGTTCGGACTTTTTTCGGGAAGTGAGAAACTCATAACCTTTATGGCCTAGTCAAGTGGAACCCTGGGGTGGTTTCCTTATGTCCAACTTTGAGCACGTTCTGAAAAACCATGTTCCTTTTGGGGAACTTCCTCCACTTCCGTTACCCTCCCCAGACTAACATGGAAGCTACCCTAAACCCTAAACCCTTTTGGGTAAGCTATCAGGACCCCTTTCAAAGATTTGGTTCCATTTACACGGCCATGGGTCAAACTCCAAATCGTACCCCCAGTGAACATCCCAATCCAACCACTAAAATAAAAAGCCTAAAAAGGGTGGTGAATTCACCGAAAACCCACCAAAATGGGATCAACCAAAACGGCCACATCGGCCTTCGTGGCATTTTCGCTTCTCCACGTCCGCAGCTCAGGGCGTCCTGGCGGGCGCCATCTTCACCTCGGTGATCACCAACGACATCTCGGACCTGCGGCGTGTGCAGCGGTCCCAGCGGGAACAGGACAACCAGCTGGAGGAGTCGACTTGCAAAATGCAGTCTAGTCGCAAAACGTGCGGGGGAAAAAACGGAAAAATTCGAAGAAAATGCATGACTGTTGGTTGTTTTTGAAGGGAATCGATTTCACTGCTGGAGGCTGGAAATGAATTGTCATCCTTTCCAGGGGTTTAAGCGAAATGGAAGCTCAAGAACCAGACTTGAAACTCTGAGACGTTTGGACTTGCTCAAAGCAAGTCGACCGGATCTGAGCGTTTGGCTTCCCCTTTTGGGTCCATTTTTTGATCATGCCCCCAAAAGGTTAAACTTGTATTTTTGGGGGTCCTTTGGGCAACTACGCCATTGCAACCAACAATGGTCCACCCTCTTTGCCAATCCACTCAGTGAGACTGAGTCGCGACTATGCAGATGCGTGGCGAAGTGTTGCGAGCCTTTCTTTTTTCGACCTGGCGATCATTTGGGGTCAGAAACCAAAAGGTTGAAAACATGTTTGTGGTTGGAAAAAACAAGTTCCCCCCAAGGGAAAGTAAATATGTTGCGAACCTTGGGTGAATTGAGTATCAAAGTGCCATGGGAGTTTCCTCTTCCCTTTTCTGTTTTGGGGGTCCCTTTAAAGTCAACAACATTTGCTGGGGCCCAAGAACTGTTCAACTGTTGGGACATACCAAAGGTGGAGGCTTTGTGTATCAAGGGCTTGCTTTCGGTCAGTTTGGCGGACTGGAGTCTTCATTTGCATCAGCGGTCAGGTTTTGGCCACGACTACGTGGCTGAAAGACCATGTTTCAGCAGGGGGCGGACCCCGTTGTGTTGCGCATCCTGAGTCAAACACGCGAGTGGCTCAACTGGGACGAGAAAAAAACGGCATGCCGGCACGGATCTTTTGCAAAATGGGCCCCCCTGGCCAGAGGCTGAACACTACGAGTTGGCAGGATTGGGCCGTCAAAGAACCAGAGTTGTTCAAAGAAAAACTTTTCAAGTGGGTTGATATTGTACCTCACAAACTCAAAGCGTTCTGTGCCGCGGCCGTGATTGCTTCAGTGGGGCAGGAAAGTCAAACTCGGATTGTCTTGCTTCGATCTAGCACTTAGGGCGAATTTGATTGATATCGGTCAAATTCAAGAAACCAGCTGAGGCTAGCCCAAATCGGTAGGGTTTGATGGGTTTGGCAAACTTGCCGAATTTCCCGCTCAGTTTTCTGAGGCAGGTCTCGTGTCTCGCAGGATTATTTGAGCACCTTCCCCGTGCCCTGGGACTTAGAAGTCGAGCTCAAGGAGTTCATGCGGAAACAGCGGGCTCCTCGCCAAATGCTTCGAGTGAATGGCGTACGGGCAAACCGCGGGCCCTGAAAGTGCCGTGAAGGGCAAAAATGGGGCGGGTTCTTACACCGGTTTCAAGGAGGTGGTGTTTTTTCCCTCGAGCCGGGGGTCTCTGGATTGCTCCCATGGGATTTGTTGGCCTTCTGGGCCGCTTCCAGAAAAAAGCTCACTTGACGGTGAACCGGACGCACTTAGGGGGGATTGCCGGAGATGTGTTTCAAACAGAACCTTGGAAGGTTCCTCTTGTATTTAATTTGTCGTAAATCTATCCAAAGCCGATGTTTCCATTTTCAGAGGTGCAGGTACCACAAGGAGCAACCGGCCAAGTGGGGGCTGAGCTAGAGAGAATCCTCAGCCTGTCACATGCATTTGTGATGCTTCTCTTGCTATCGAGCGAAGCAACAAGCCACGTCGAGCAAGCTTGGCAAGTCTTGCAACTTTTGTCGGGTGCGGTTGCTTGGTTCCACCTGCTGTTTTTGACCATAGAGCCGCCTCCGCCGAAGCGCCGGCCGGCCGCGCGTCTCGGGCTTCGGCTTCGGGCTTCGGGTTTGGGGCGGCTGTGGGCTGAAGATGGAGCCCCAGGAAAGGCAACCCGGAGCCAGCCGCAGCGACCGGAAGATTCTTGGAGGTCCTGTGGAGCACAAATTTGGCTTGCGGCAAGAACCTCCAGGTAGAAAGTGGCTGCTTCCAGTTTCTTCCGCGGCGGTTGTGCTTTGGCCAGCCGAATTCGCAGGATCCAAGCCCTCCGGTCAATCTGGGAAATCAAGTCGTCAATCCTATGAAGAATAGTATTGCGCTGCAAGAAGAACCACAGGCAAGCCAGAAAGGAGTTGGAATCTGATGACAAAAGCATCTCGAAGGATACTTGCAAGGAACCAACCGGCGCATCCGACAACACAAGAAAGGCTCAATCTAGGTCCCCCCGTAGGGTTCTGTTACCCTTTTTTGGGGGAGGGTTCCCCTACTAAAATCGACTGCAGAAAAATGTTGGTACCCTTATTCTAACCTCTCCACTGGAGGACCTAGTCAATCTAGCTTGAGATCTGCGGGGGTGTTTTGATCCGAGTCTCTCCCTTTTGGTTTGGGCGCAGGCATGGCAGCACCCGCCAGAGAAAGAGGCGCTGGCCGGCATTCTGCCCACCTTTCTCTTCAAGGAGCTGTGTCGCGAAGCCTTGGCGCCGGTGATGAAGAAGCACTCCTTGTTTGGAGGACCCAGACGGACGATGTGGGCATGAGCCAAAAATCGGCGGTAGAATTTTCAAATGGCTGTGGTTGTCAAAACCAACGGGATCCCATTTTGAGGTTTTCGGTGCACCACCCATTTTAGAATCTTTTTTAGTGGGGATTGTGATGTTCACTGGGGGTATGAGATTTTGACCCATGGACAAATGACATGGAAACATGGGCGATGTTTCACCGGTGCATGGCCTGCTGGTTTAAGTTTGACCCATCCTGTGGCCAAAAGACACCTTCAGGAAGCCATTGGATTTGGGATTTTGAATCTCCAAGGGAGCCACGGGTTTGGGGAGTTTTGACCCAGCTCAATCCTTAGACACGGAGGCTTTTCTGTCACTCAACCCCCAAAAATAAGCTTCTATTGAAGGGCTGGTGTTTTCCTTAGGTCTGGTTTCTGGCTGGCTGGTTGGTGGGCTAGTTGGCCAAAAATCCCCAGCACCAGCCTGCTGCCCATGGGCACTGACGTGGCAGGGAGTTGCATTCGGGTTTTTTTGGCGCCATATCCAAGCTGTGGGCAGGACTGGGGTTGACTTTGGATGTGGTTGGGATTGGCGAGCTGATTTGCACCAGGTGTACAGCCGGTTTGGCAGCGGAATTCGGGTTGCTTCTGGGATGTGGGTGTGGCTCAAAATTCAATAGGGGCAAACCGCAGGTTTTGGTCCATGTTTCCACTTACCAGGGTTCCATTTTGGTTCCGGTTTTTTGAGCCACAGCCATGTGGTGAAGTGAGTTGTGGGCTTTGGGGGTTGGCAGCGTTGCTCCAAACACCAAAACTGGGCCAAGACTCACGAGGCAGCTAATGACGACGGGGATGCTGTGGATGTTGCCAGCTCCAAGAGGAACCAGCGCTAGCAAAAACCAGCCCTGGTCATCTACTGCACCACACAACCTGATTGTAAATACAGGCTGCATCCCAAATAGGGGCAAGTTTTTTTCGACAACCCCCCCTCGTTGGTGTGTAGTGCGTTCTCAGTCACACTGTGGTTCCGCTTCGGAGTGTTGTTGCCTGGGTTGCTTCATGGTAATGTCCCCCCGAGTTCGGATGCTTCGTGTTTCAGGCCGTTGCGCTGAGTCACAGGTCCACACAGATTTACACTGGGTATGTCCCAAAAGGCATTGCCCGACAAGGCCACATGAAATTGCGCACGACAAGGCCAACGAGCCAAACCCCAACTGTCATTCTCACCCCCTGAGGTTGTAAACCTGAACCCTAAACCCTAAACCCGGGGTCCCAAGTGGCCCCGGAATACACTTCGCAGGTGCCTTGGATTGGATCTACTCCGATGCAGGTAAATGACCAAATGGGAATGTAAGCAGTCAATAGGAACAAGTGTAAACTGTACCACAGTCAGCAAAGAAGGTGATTTGTTTCTCTAGCTAGAGCCTTTTTCAACCACAAGGCCAGCCAGGAAATGGCAATGAGATTGCTGCAGTGGATTACTGTGAATCAAGCACAGGAGCTGGAACCCCACAGGCCAACACCCAACAGCCTAACTACAAGCAGCAACAAACCTAGCTACTGAAAGGCTTTTCCATTCTCCCAGAGCCGGAAGTGTCAAACACGAAAAGAGAACCGCAGCTCGGGCACGTTACTTGTTTCATTCTTTGTCTCCTTCCGACTTTCCCTTTTTGCGGCGTTGTCTCTTTGTCTTTTGTTTGATACTCTCGTTCCTCTTCTTATTCCTCTGTCCCTTCCCCTGTCTCTGTCTCGTTCTATGTATCTTCAGCTCTCTTTCTTTTTCTGCTTCTCTTTCTCTTACTCTTTCTCTTTATCTGTCTTTCTCGCTTTTTCTCTTTCTTTTTTTGGTGTTGTTCTTATCTTTCTCTTTGTTGTTCGCTCTCTCCATCTCTCTATCTCTCTATCTCTTTATCTCTTTATCTCTCTCCGCTGTTCTCCTCTCTCATCTCTTTCTCTGCATTTTGCTTCTCTTTGTCTATCTGCCTCTCTGTGTTTCTGATCAGTTTATCTTTCTTGTTAAGTTATATGCATTCAGTTATTTCTGTTTCCTCCGTATCGTTATTTGCCTCGTTCTCTTGATTTCTCTCTCGCTCTCTCGTCTCTTTCGCTGTATCTTTCTGCTTAGTTTTCGCTTTATCTCTCTGTTCCTCTTTCTCGCTCTCTCTCTCTGTCTATCTAGTAGCTCTCTCTCTCTCTCTCTGTCTCTGTCTCTCTCTCTGTTTATCTCTTTCTTACATTATCTTTCTCTTTGTTTCTCTTTCTTTCTCTTTGTCTCTTTCTCTCGTTCTCTCTTTCTCCTCTCTCTCTCTCTCTCTCTCTCTCTTTCTCCTTCCTTTTCTTGCTTTATCTTGCTCTTCCTCTGTCTTGTTTTCTGCATGTTTCGCTTCATTGTTCTTTGCCTTTGTCTTACTACGTCTATCTTTCTTCTTTCTCTCTCTCTCTCTCCCTCTCTCTTTTCTCTTTCTCTCTCTGTCTCTCTTTCTCTTTCTCTTTCTTTTTCTTTTTTTCTTTCTCTTTCTTTCTCTCTTTCTCGTCTCTTTCTCTGTCTCTGTGTGACAGTTTGCGCCAGGGTTCTGAGGGCCGCGGCTCCTTTTCCGCCACCTCTCCGGCGTGTTCGGTCCGCTGCGGCCAGGACTCGGCTCGAAGTTCCCAGCCTTCGAGTTCGATCTCTGCCTCACGGGCTTGACAGATTGGCACGTGGCGCCCGGGGAGACCTTGTTCTCCCAAGGCGCTGCGTGGAAAATCGCCAAAAAAGCGGGGCGGAGCGGGGTTGAGTCAGAATCCTTTTTTTTGGGGTGTGTGTTTGTTTTTTGGATGTCTGTGTACATGTGTTTGAACTGTTTTGTTTAGTATATCAGTCATGGGCCCCTCCAAACCCCCATTTTCCTTCATTGTCAGCGCAAAATGCACAGATCTGCTTGATCGGAGGCTCAAAATGCAACCACATGGTCATTGCGGCTGTTGGCACCGTGACCTATGAGCTGTCCGACACCGCTGCTGACTCCGTTCAGGGCATCGTGCCTGTACCCCACCGCCTGCCAGACTGCACGGATGGAGGGAGAAGGGGGAGGGTTGGAAAGGAAAACTCGTCAAGTAAAATTTAGGAGCAACAACTCCCAGGTGCTTGGATTCTGAATCAAGGAGTCAATTTGATACCTTGATTTTGTTGGGCAAGGCATCCTTGGATGGGCAAGTAAAGGGACTGCCCAAAAAGTTCTGAAAGTGTAGCAATCCTGCGAGTCGTCCGTTGAGATTCCCAAACGGACAATCAACCCGAAGAAAGCCAACGTCACGAGTCCCCAAAAGCGCCGCAACGGGCAAACCGCACCCAGATGCGGGCTTTAGGGGAAAGCTCCCCCCGTTTCTTTCTTGGCTACCAAGGGAGCCGTGGGAAGACGCTGGGTTCCCAAAGTCTTGAAGGGACTCGCGCCCGGCGCACCTCTGTGTTAGAGGCTTTGCCCGGGAAGGCTTCCCCTTTTGAGGTCCATTGGGCGTGAGAACGAAATTCCATCTCAGGCCTCCCTGAATATTGGCAAGCGGCAAGCATTTCGTGTTCGGAACGAAGGCCGGTCCTGGTCGGTGGTGAAGGTGAAGGAGAACTTGCAAAGGCAGGTGATCGTCGGTCAGGGGGATTGGCTCTGCGAGGGCTGTCTCTGGACCTCATGGTACTATTTGGGTGCCTTGGATGCAAATCCATCCGTCTGATTCGCCCCTATGTCTCCGCAAATGAAAGGCGAAGGCGAGCAAATCGCCAGAGGTTGCGTCGAAATTTGGATAGCCAGCGGTTGCCTTTTCGCAGAAACCCCGTTTTGCTTTGGAAAAGAAAGCAAAGAGAACCAAGCATTACGGGAGTCCTATATGGCAGTGATGTTTTTGAGGGGTCTGCAACAGCCGCGGCGGACATTCGTTACAGACCTCGTTACAGACCTCTGTAACCCTCTGCTTGTCAGGAAAGGTTTTTCCCGTTACAGACCTGCGTAGCAAGGACCTCCGTTACAGACCTCCGTAAAAAGATTCGTGCCGCGTCGCGCGTTACAGACCCCTTAAAAAATAAAAAAAAAAAAAAAAAAAAAAAAATCATAGCCATAGTTCTGGCGTCCCCAGGGACAGGCGAACCTTTTTGTCCCATGACTGCTCCTTTAAGCGAGCTGTTCTTTCGTCATTCATTCACATGCGCGTGTCATTTTATGCTTGCTTGTTGTGAACGTTGCTTGATTTATTTGCTGGCTTCTTGAAGAATTGACTTGATTCCCGTGTTCCTCTCTTCCTTCCCTTCTTCCTTTTTTCCTTTCTTCCTTTCTTCCTTTCTTGCTTTCTTCGTTCTTTCTGTCTTCCTTGCGTCTTCCCTTCCTTTCTTTACTTTCCTCTGGTCTATTTGAGCAGGGAAGGAGGGCACCGAAATCCGGAGCCTTCGGTGAAGAGAGCCCAACTTCATCCATGGGGCCGCATGGGCCACCAATTTGCTGGGGAAGCGATGCAAGCCATAGTTGCTCTTGGTGATCATGTGTTTCTGTGTGGAGCAATCCTTGAGACTTGGTGTGTCTAAGCTGGGAGCCTCTCAGGTGTTTGCGGGGTTGTATGCTGCAATGGGGTGGCTTTGAAGGGACACCGCAGGGGAAACCACCATTTGTGGGTGGGACCCTGATTCAAAACACGCCCACATGACCAATTGGGTTTTTCTCACGAGCTATCATTCGCTTGGTTCTCTGTGCAAGCGGCAAGTGGATCGGTACCATAGTTGGCATTCACTGGCGCCTTTAAAAAGGTCGCCAAACACGTGGTCCATCGGAGTGACATGGGCTCAGATGCTCTTTGGTGTTTTCTGGCTGAGGTTCGCGGCATGTCTACACTTTAGCCAAAATGAAAGTAGACCTTTGACAGGGTCGCAGTGACTTATTCGTGGGCAATGTGACCCCGAAATAATCTGATTTGACATTTGTTTCGCATTCTTTGCAGTCGGCCGCTGGCTTAGCGTCAGCTAGGCAGGTGTTTTGTTTTAGACTGCAAACAAATGGTGCCTTTGGCAAGCCTTACTCCTACTACAGCTACAAGGGTTGACTTCTCTACCCGCATCCTGGATGTTTATGTGCGACTCGTTCCTTCGTCACTCTGTCTACATTGAAATCTGAGAAATATTTGGAGAGAAAGATAGAAGTAGGAAAGCAAGTAGTTAGCAATTACTTTCTACATCTCAATGCTTCTTTAGTATTGACTTTTCTCGTTGCTTTTCGTATCTGTCTATGCCTTCTTTATCTGTCTCTTATTTCCTTTTTTCTTACTTCTTCATTCCCAGGCATTTTCATTAGACACCAAATGCTTGGATGAGAGAATGTAGGAATGGGAAAAGATATAGGCAAATCATAGATGAGGAAAGAGGAAGTGATGGGAAATGATTCATGGATTTCCATTGGATCACTTCCTACCTCTCTTTCCTTTATCATGCCATCTCCTACCATCTCATTTTCTTTTCTTGGGATCATGATGGTAGGAAGAGATAGTAGGGAATAAATAATTAAAGAATCATTACTTTCCTTATCCATCATCTCGCATATGCCGCAGAAGTGAGAGCCATTTGTTCCTCCATGGGTTTCATTTCCGGATCATGTCTCAAATAAAACCGCCTGAACTGCCGGAATTTCCTGCAGCTTCCCTATGATTGGTGGCAGGGGCTAACCCATTTGCCCTCAACAAGAACCAGTTCAAATCCCCGAACCACCCAGCCGAACCCCCTTTCCTCCGAGCTTGGGTTCGGGGGATGGCCTACGGGTAATTGGAGTGAGAGCCATTTGTTCGGATCCAGGCGTTCCCTTTCCGAGCCTTGGTGCTTCGGGGGCTGGCCATCCCGGGCCTAATGTGAACCCCGGATGAAGTTAAACCCCTGGTTGATTTTCATCCGGGGGGTGTCGAATTCCTAGTGGTTGGATTCAGACCACTTGAGGGAACACCATCCCCTGGGACGGGTTCTAGATCCTGGGTCAACGGCCTGGATGGATCGAGGTAAAGCTGGAGCGACCTCCAGCGCTACTCTGCTGTGCCTGAGCCATGACCACCTGCTGCAGCTGGGCCTTCTGCACAAAGAGGCCTTCAGGCAGCTGCAGTCCTACGCGCGGAGCTACGTGAAGGCGGGGTTTTGGCAGGGTGGAAATTTGTGTGTTGTTTTTGTTGACCCATTTCAGCCCTTTTTTTTTGGCGGATTGTTTTTGTTCATAAGTTGACCCATTTCAAAGGTAGAGTTGTGTGTTGCATAAGTTGGTACCCATGTCAAAGGTAGACTTGGTCCTTTGGCTTCCAGGGCCATAGCACCTGACCCAGGCATCAAAGATCGATGTGGTTTCCTTGGCTCCCATGTTCATTGGGGTTTTCATCGGGCTTACTCTGGTGTTATTAGACCCATGTTTTGTTTTGTGTTTGAAGGGAGAACAAACACATTGTCTTGATCTTGCTGTGGGTCAAAACCAATGGGATCCATTTGGGGTAGGTGAATTCACCACCCATTTTTGGTCTATTTTAGTGGGGATTGGGATGTTCACTTGGGGTACGATTTGGATTTTGACCCATGGCCATCTCAAAGAAGCTGAGGCGTTGAACAACTTGCAGGACCAGGAGCTCTCAGACCTGCCCTTCGCAGTGCAAGGAATACATGACCTGTGAGCGGATGCGGGTTTTTGCGGTTTTTCTCGGTGTTGCGGGTTTTTAGGCGTAATGCCTTGAGGCAAATAAGCTGTCCTTCCGGGTTTCCTCGGTCTCCAGCGTGTCGGCTCTTTTTTTCTTCTGGGCCAAGACGCCGTCTTTGGTCGTGCCGCTCGGGCTGCAAGAAAAGTTTTTAGAGCTGCGACGTGGTCGTCGAATTCGCCAGACCAATTGGTGATAATTGGCCGGTACTCAGACCCCAAACGGGGCATGAGTTGGAGGTCCAACACTTTCAGCACTTTTTACATGGCTCTCTTTAGTTGGGGAATACCTTCCAAATTCCAAACGCCAGGTGGACAGAATTTGAGTATGAATGAGGTCAACCGAATTGTCCAACTCCCGGGCACTTTCATTTCAAGGGTAGTTTTAGACGAGGGGGAAATAGAGACACTGGATAGCTGAAAGTGGATGGATGATGCCTGGCGTGCCCTTTTCCATGATTTCGAGGGCCTTTGCTGTCATTTCAAGCCATTGGACTCGAGTTCATTGAGTTTCAAGCTGTTTGGTTGGATGCGGTGAATAGCAAGATTTCCCTGAGCCATGTGATTGGCACCTTCGCACGTGCCGATAAGCTGCAGGGGGGTTCGGGTTTTTAGGTTTGTTGGGAGTTGGCAACACCTTGACACCAAGGGAAGTGAAGCATATTAGAACCAATTGGGTAGAACCAACGGGTAACATGCATTACTCCATACGTACACTAGTGGGATGGCTGGATTTGTTGGAGAACGGGCAACTCACCCAACTGTTTGTTTTTGGCCGCTCCCAACCAGAAGCAATGTTGAGCTGGGATTGTTCAACCTGCTGGACAAATTGGGTCTTATTCCCAAAGAGTGAGGGATCCCCTCAAAAATGGCAGTGGCTCAAAATTCAAGCGCTAGGGTTACGCAGGTGTTGGTCCATGTTTCCACTTGCCAGGGCAACCCATTTTGGTACCGGTTTTTTGAGCCATACCCAAATTGGTCGCGGCCAAAACGATCTCAGAGGTTGATCCCTTCTGGACGCCGCTCAACCCATTCGTTCGCGCGAGTTTGCTTCGGGAGAAGAGAAACAAAGAAGCCCAGAGTGCTACACAATCGGGGTCCCGTTCTTTGGAGTTTGTGAATCTTGGCGTATTCAACAGGGCTTCTTAAAAGATACATTTGCCCATTTGAAACATGGCGTTTTCCACCAAACTAAAGGGACACCACCATTTACAAGGCAATGTTCAGGTGTATAATGTAAGGATCCCTGTTCAAACGGGTGTGCTCTTGCAACGTGTTCTCCCGCGGGGTCCTTCAGACTCAAGTCGGTTCTTTTCTGCCTGAGATCGGCTTCACGAATCAGAACTGCGAAGCCGATGGCGCGCACAAACTCGCTTCGAGTCGTCGCAGCTGGTGCAAAAAGAAGAAGAAGCGGGTTGCCTCTTTTTCTGTGCGGCATCTTAGGAAGCCAGCGGTTCCTTCCTCTCTAAGGGCTTTTGTATTACCTGGGAATACACCCACTGGGTATTGACCCCATTTAGGCACATTACCGGATAAAACCGTGTTTTGAACCCTTCTGGGTCATTTCCCAAGGGTGTACTCCCAGGGTGTAACACAAAAAGCCTCAGATCCTCTGGGACTCAGTGAGTCGTTTGTGAAAACGGAAGGGGTCGCTCCCAAACAAATTGCTCCACGCCTTTGGAGCGGCACCGAAAGAAGTCTTAACTTGCGCATGCCCGCGCGATGTTTTCCCCCGATGCTTCGATGGCCATGTGGCATACACCCGCAAGTCCTCACATTTTAAGAAGTACCCAGACAGTTTGCAACATCGCTGAGGGGTCTGATGTGATTTGCGATGCCAAAGATGCAACCAGGTAGCGTTGGAGCTGAAGCTACTGCCTGCTTGCAACCTGCCAATGCAAGGGGAAGCCCGTGCTGAGATCAACTGCGCCATAGATGCCGGTAAGATGGGTCTATCTGAACTGCTGGGATTGGCGCCTAGGGGGGGAGGCCTTCCATGTTGGGAACACACCCCATGACTACAGCCCAGTCGGGAACTGCCGATGCCTTGGATGGTTCGGCTTTGATCCAACAAAAAATTATGGGTCTGACCACCTATGAATACATGGTATAAGACCCTAGGCGACCACAACTACATGCCTCTTTTTGGATTCGAAACATGTTTGGGAACGGCGGAGAATTGAGCTTTATTCGGGGCCGGGAGACTGTACGAGCACCTCTGGATCCAGAACATAGGGTCCCAACAGACTGCCGCAGTCACTGCCAAATCAGACGTTTCGGCTGCTGGGCTTTTGTTTGGCTGCCTAGTTTGACCACACCCTTCCTTCTTCACACCCTCTAGAGCGTACTCTTGTTGGGGCGAGTGTTGTCACAAACGTGTGCGCTTTTTGATTTCCATGCAGGCATTGATTGTTGCAGCCCGTTCTGCTCACATGTTTCAGCCTGCATGGGCTGTTTAGGGGCGTGGAGCCTTGCTATCTCACTTGAAGTAAGGGTGTCGGTTTAGCGGCGCGTTGCAATTGACCTCTCGTAGGGAGAGGCATTTGACTGTCCGTATCTCTAGGAAAGTAGTCAGTAGTAGTCACCTCTAGTCATGGCTTGTCGCAAACGGCCTCACATTGAAGCTCGTTTGAAGTCGTGGTGACCCAAGGCAAAACATTGGCGCAGGGAAAACAATCCCACAGAAAGCGCGCCACACACGCGATGCATCACAAGAAGCCAGCAACACATGCACGTGCACCTAAGGCCTTCACCACAAAGCCTCCAAAACTTTCCCGTTGTGGGGCTGCAAAATGAAATCAACGTTGGGGCAGTCTTCCAATGTTGACCCAGGATTAATAAACCCGTCCCACTATTAGGGGGGTGTTCCCTCCCAAAGTGATGAATCCCCACTAAAAGGGGACACCCTATTAATCAACCAGGGGTTTATTAATCCAGGGTTAACATTAGTCCCCAGCGAACTCTGTCATTGTTTCATGTTGGTCCCCCCATATCGCCACGTTTGCACTTTGAAGCACCGCGTTCGCCCCAATGTTCGCATCCCGCTTGCCCAGCCCCATCAAATCCGGACGGCAAATCCGTGTCCTGACTGATGGCACGCAGCAATGGCAGGCGAGAGACGTCGGGATGATGTTTTTTGTCGGGGCCAAGCCGCAAAAAAACTGCTCTCCATACGTTGTGGCCTGTCTTTTTGTGGGGGTACCCTGTAATTTTTAAACCGAAATGGGTGTCACTTTGAAGACGGTCCAAACTCCACGGGGCTGAGTTTGAAGAAACCACCGGGGCCCCGTTTTGGGCACGCGCGAAATTTTCAGGGTCCGGAGGTTCGCCCCAATGAGTGGGGCCTTTAAGAACACATCCCAGCGGAACCTGCTGGTTTTGGCTTGAAGGTACCAAGCAAAAGCTGCAGTTTCGGCTTTCTTGGCCTCCGGTTCTCTTGATCCCTTTTGGATTTGAATGGATCGAACATGGTTTGACACAGGCAGCTGCAGCTGCCGATGTTTTTTTTGCTTTGCTGGTTCTCCTTTGTGTGGATCGGGGTTTCTCGAAGATCACGTCGTGCGTCCTCTTGTCCGGCCGCGCGTCCTGTCAAATCAATTCCTCAAACAAGGTATGTTGATGGGAAGTCATGAACGTACGCATGGCTACGGAAATCACCCCTTACGTTCCAGGTCCAAGAGTCTGGCTCCAAGAAGATGTTCAGTCCTCAAAATGCAATTTGGCTAGCATGTCCCAAATGGACCCGTTCCGTTTCCGGATCAGGCTGGCAGCATGCTGCAGAGGCTGGAAAGGGGCTCATCCTAAGCTCGGGGAGTGGCGCCTGCATCCTATGGGAGAGTCCCATCTGAGCCAAAAAAAACAGCTGGTTGTCTCCGTCAACGTTTAGCACTAGGCCTAGCTTTACAAGAAGCAAGGAAAGAAGCCGCGGCGTTCGCAAAGTTGTTGTTGTTTTTGCCAATCTGCAAGAGGCAGTTGAACGTAAAGAAGAGGATACCACACATCTTTTTGAATTGCACGAGCTTACCGAAGGGGAATGAAGTCAGCTCCTTGAAAATCGAAGGTCTGGTACTTGTCCGTGCCAAGGCCCGTTTGGGGGAGTACCACCGGCATTTTGGATGATGTAGAAATTGTTGCCGTTTTGCAGGGGGTAGGAAAGGTAAGGCAGTCACAAAATACGAAATTGAGGGGGGGATCAGAATTTGGCTAAGGCATCTGGCCAAAGGTATAGTGGTCAGCTATAGACCACGGGCATTTGGTAGCCAGGTAAGGAGCAATCACGAGTCAGTTACGGTTCTGCAAGTCTTCACAGTGGAGATACATGGCTTCCACAGTTTCAAGAAATAGGGAATTGTTTTTTGAGCGCCCCTTTTGGGTTGGTTTGAAGGGCAACCAAAAAGGAAGCCACATGGTTGTCCTCTTTTTTTTCTGGGGGGGGGATTGCCCTATTGTACCACACCCAAATAGTCTCTCCAAAGCGTGACACATGCCGCACAAAGAACCAGCAGGTCATCCTTTGACTTGGGGCAAGCGGAGGGAGACTTGAACTCTAAGCTTAGGGGCATCCAGTTCTTTATATCATCTCCAAGGGCTCAACTCCCCGAGCTCCTGCCATTTTTTGGGGGCAGATCCGTGAGCAGTTCGAACGACGAAGGCTTTGGACTCCACCAGTCGAAGTCGAAGTGGCCATGGGAGTCATAACCTATGCCTCCATTTTGGGGCGGATGAACACCCATGTAGCACCTATTCTGAGGTTCACCAGGGGTTTGCAGGGTTTTGATCCACAGCCCCCGATTTTCCATCACGGGCTGCCGATGGCCGCCGATTCCATCCTTCGCCTGCGAGGCGCTGGAGGGTCGCACGTTGCTGGCGGCCATTTGCGCCCAGGCGCGCGGAGCTTCGAGCTTCAAGCGAGCCCGCCTAGGTGGTCACCCAGTTTTCGGTCAGATTTCCTTTCAGACCCGCAGTTTTTTAACTTTCCGGCTGGGAAGTTGTGGCAATCTGGCCATGTGAAATGTCCCCAAGAAGCCAGAGTCACTGTTTGCAAGTGGGGTTGGCATTTGGCATGCATGCGGCATGATGCTGCTGCTTCCACCCCACCACACGTGATGTCTGGGAAATCGCATGGGAGGCACCGTGTTTTGCACCCCGCCCGTTCCGCTGGAGGATTGGTGTCAACAAATCATGGGATGCCGACGCAGTTGTTCAGCAGCCTTCCGTCCCGGTTCCCCACGAAGGGTCGGCCCCAAACAGCGTGACCTTTCTTTGCTGGTTCACTGAACAACTCGGCCCAAGAGTTCCGCCCTTCAGCATAGCGTCCACTGTTCCGGAGGCGCCCCTCTCCTTGAACCCCACATGGCGTTTGCTTTGCTTTGCTTAATTGCTTCATTGATTGCCTTGCCCTGCCCTGCCCTGCCCTGCCCTGCCCTGCCCTGCCCTGCCCTGCCCTGCCCTGCCCTGCCCTGCCCTGCTTGCTTGCTTGCGCACCATTTGCTTCAATACGTGCTTGAAGCAAGATGTGTTGCAAACCTGCGGCTTGACCGGAATGCCCAGCCCCAAAGTCAAGTTCGCTCGTCCCTTGTTTCAGTTGGTGAACCCGTACCCAGTTGCCAAGCGGCACTCTTGTCCTATGGCGGGATAGGGTCATAGGCTTCCGTACACATGTTTGTCCTGCGCAAGCAATCGGAACCTGTTCACAGAGCTCATTGAACGGTCCCTGCATAGCCAACAGGTCCTTTGATTTGTGCATGGGACACCGCTTGGCAATTCAGCAGAATACCGCGCGGCTCTCCCCCGACTGATTTGCGAGCTATACGTCACGTCACTTTGGGCGCATAGTTTAGATTGATTGAAACATAGAGTGGTTTAATAGAAATGTGTGTGTGTGTGTGGTGTTAAGGAGCCCTTTTCAGGTTGGTTTAGAACACGTGCTATGTCGGCAGGAGGAGTGGGAGAAGGCTTTGTCTTTGCATGCGACTATGCTGCTTGGTTGCATGGCTGCTGGGGATCGGGAACCCTTAGTTTCACCATTGAGCGGGGCCACTGAGAGGAACTGTCCACAGCGGATGGGTTCCAAGGACGACTTCTTGCCTCGCAAAGGGCACAGACCTTTCTCTTGTTGTGGGAAAATGTCATGTGCGAGTCTTGAGCTTCCTGAACTTTCATTTGAGTTTCCGATTGATTGTGTATGGCAAGGTTTGAGTTCCATTTGATTTCAGCATTGCCTTAGCCTTGCTAATGAAGTTGGGTTTGAGTTTCTTGCTAATATAGTGTTGCTGGAGTTTCTGGCCGGGTGATTTTGTAATTTCCTCCCGCTGTTTTCTTGCCAGGCTGGGTGTCGCCAGTTCTGCAACCTTAAGACGCTGGAACATCCGGTTTGGGGCCAGGGAGTCTTAGATTTATACGCGTTGCTCCGGCTCCTTAGGGTTCCCTTTTGGTTTCTTGATAGGACACATCCATCAGAATGGTCTGGATGTCAGTTCCTATGGTGGATAGGATCTGGTGGATGTCGTTGGTTCACCAAAGCGTCCCCGAATTAAGACGTACACCCGAATCTACTTAGTGACATTCTTGTTTTAGTCACCCAATTAAGACTCAGACCCAAATTTACTTGGGACACCCGAATTTACTTGGGACACTCCAGGTTTCCCACTTTTGCTTTTGCAATACCGACCTAAGATGCTTTCCACCGCCCCACTATCCCCGCCCCCCCCGTTGGGTGAAACCCATCGCCACATCGGTTGGGACCGAGGTGGTCTCCCAATCTGATCGTGCACAACGCCTTGTGTCGCCGCCTGCCCTGGCGGGCTGGCCTCAGTCTAACGCACATGGCCAGGAGAGGTTGAGGCTTGAAAGGTCTCCACTCCAGTTTGCTGGGGTCCCAAATGGGTGGTCACAAAAAGGTGCCCAAAATGGCACCTGGCGAATGGAAAAAGATAAATCATATTGCATTGCTTTTCCCAAAGAGGCCAAAAGGATGTATTTGTTCGTTTTCCAAAGCCCTATGTAACATCCAGCTGTGAAGGCTGGATTGGGTCCAGGACAGGCCGAGGCCCAACACCTGGGGTTTTGCAGCCGCAATCAAACCCCGGTTGAAGGTTAGTAATTTGGCAAGGGACAATCAGTAAGTGCGCCCGGCCTTTTTGATGTGTTTGTTTTTTTCATCTGTTGGGGTCGACTCCTTCCGTGCAAGGTGTCGATTGTGACGCTGGAACATTTGCTCATGGTTGCCCATGGTTGCCCCCTTGCCCGAGTTCCTGGATGTTTTGTGGGAAAGCCGTTTCAGCGACAAAGAACATGTGTACAGCGAGCGGCATCAGACGGAAGCGGATCCCTTCTCAGGGTGTGAAGCCTTCAACTTGGATTGAATCGCCCACCCAGGGTGGTCGAATCACGTTGTGGGACATACCACTTTCTTTGACAAGGATCAGAATATGTTTTTTAAGTCATTCATAAGCCAGTCATGTATCAACCACCATGGAAACACTGAAAGTGGTTTGCTCCACAACCATGTGTTCTTGTGCGGCGCATTGCACGATTGTTCCAAGGATCATGAACCTGCTGAACCAAAAAGGCCAACTGGGCTGTTGAAGCAAACAAATGCAGATGTTCTCCTGACTCCAGGAGACTGGAGCCTGACATCATCTCCTACAATTCCATGGTGCACACCTGCGACAAGGCTCAGATCCGAGTTTTCTCGGGCAAGGCCCTCGCCAAGCCCGTCGACGCTTCAAGCGTTTCTTGGGATTGGCGCAGGGGCCGAACCTGAGGCTCTTGGTTGCTCTTTGAGCGCCTAAGCTTTTAAATATTTTGGAGAATGACTCTGTGCCCTTCCCCACCCTGGGGGATTTTCGCGTTAGTCGATGAAGAATTGGATCAGCCATCACTCAACGCGTCCGTACTGCGGTGACTCTTAATAGCTGCTAGTGCGCGGGAAGGGGTCCTTCCAGAGGTGTCGCTGTCCCGCTGATCCCCCTGCGCACTGAACTGCAGATAGTCATATGACGCCTGTTTGAAAATGGCACCTCGCAGGCTAGCATCACGTGACTGGAGCTTGTAGTCAGGATCTTCATCTGATTCTGCATTTGCGCCAACTTGCGGAAGACGCGATATCCCTCAGTGGGTCCGCTAGAAAAGCCCCCAAGATCCATGAAGCTCAGCTCAGCTCTAGCAGCCCGCAAGTCCCCAAGCCACCGAACGCCACAGCTCAAGTGGCTCAGGCGGCTCAGGCGTCACCGGACTGTCACCTCGCATGCGACGTTGAGCAGCTTGAACTTGCTCAAGCGCAACTGGAAATCTCCAGTTCCGGCAGCACACGGTTGAAGCCAAATTCAGATTCGTGGCATGACGCTGTGCTGCCATCATGTGGCTGAAGTTGAACTGTCACGAGGAAATCTGCAAGTCATGTCTACTGGGCTTTCTCGTGTGCGCAATTAAAGCGGACATATCTTCCCAGTCTGAATCCAGTATGTAATCACCCTTATTGCAAGTCAAGCTCGCACACAGTCTCCCGTGTGTGCCAGTATCACGCATGATTTGGGTGCTGCGTGCAGCCATCCAACGGCGCTAAGCGCAAAAGAGCGAAATGTAGCTTTTAGAGCTTGGGGGCAGGGCCCAAGTTTCGGCAGTATTATGTTGGTCATGCCTGGGTTCAGCTTGCGCTATAGACATGTCGCCAGCTGCGCTGAAGGGTCCATGGAATCAGTCCTCGTCCATGTAGATTCAAGCTGCATCACAGCCCCTGCTCTCCACAGCTGGGACCTAGGACACTTCCAAAAGCAATGAAAACCAGTCAGAGTGGCGTTGCTGTGTTTTGCGGCATAGGTGATCAGTGGAAGTTTGGCTTTTTTTAAGAATGCCTTCCCCAGAGCTCTCTTGAAAAGTACGCCGCGCGTGAAAAGGCAACGCCAAAAGCCGGAAAGCTACTTAGTCATGGCCTTCCAGCTTAAAGTGTTCGCGATTCCCCGTGAGTGAAGTCACAAAGGCAAACAAAACACAAGAACCTGTTGAAGGTCCCAAAGTTCGGAGAAGCTTGCACGAGAGCAGCAGCACGCTTCAGACGGGTCCCAAGTTCTCAGGGAAGGCCTTGTCTGAAGCTAACGTTTTATTTACCGCCTTTGTTTTCCGCAAAGGCAACACGCAGACCTTGAACAAATCGCGTTCAAAGACATTCAGAGCTCACTTTGTGTGTGTGTGTGTTCTTAAATGGCCTGATCAACAGAACCGAGCCAATTGTGTGCCTGTGTTGTTATGTGTTCCTTGATTGAAGGCAGGGTGTTTTAACTCAGCCAACAAACTGTCTAAGCAACTGAGTTTTTGCGACCGAGACTTTCATGCTGAAGGTTCCTTTCTTGAGGAGTTGTTGATTTCTTGCTGAAGTCGTACAATTGTCCCAGATCATATGTTGCCATCGTTACTGCGGTTGGCAAGGCAATACGGTGACGCAGCCAAGGCCGTCATGTGCGTGTTTTTTGGTGAACCCACCAACCGCAATCCCCGGATGCGGATCCTTCCCGCGAGTTTGGGGCCATCTTCCCACATGTTGGGGTTCACCCTGGTTTCGACCTATTTGGAATCGAATGAAACAAGCCGATGAGGCTGATTAGCGCAGGTCGGGAGGGGCTCAACCCATTTTCAGCCAGACCTTCAGTGGTGCCCCCTTTCCCTTTCGGGCGTTTTCCAAATGGAGTGTACCAGACCCCTGGAACATACTCCAGGATAAAACAGAGCAAATTGGGGGGGAGGGGGTTCTGATAAGCCGGAGTTCTTCGGGTTTTACCGGCACATGTCTTTGGGGTCTGGTCTGGAAACACGGTCAGAAGTCTTTGAGTCGTTAGCGGTTCCAAAAAGGAAATCCAGAGGTCCGGAGAAGGAGGCGCGGTACCGGGTTTTGTTCGCTTGCTTTAAGGCAAACTAAAAGGGAAGCGGCCATGTTGGTGGAGTTTGGCACGTACCTATTTGGCATATACAAATGTATGTATACCTAGTTCTATTTTTTGGGGGAGGGGGTGGCCCTTGTCTTGCGATAAGTAGGGAATGTGGGAATGAATAAAGGACGCGACAAGGGAGGGTTTAGAAGGGTCATTCCAATTCTCATTCGCGATCGCATCTCTCCCACGGATCGCAAGCTATTTGGTGCCCAAGATCGTTGAGTCTTCGCAGGCGCGGCAGTGGCAGCAAGCTTTGCGATGCCTCCGTGGTGCTAGGAGCCGGAGTCGGGAGAGCTGACTTGGTCCCCTTGGGAAAATGACTACGGGAAACCACCCACCACTCTGGGTCCGAGTTCATGGACTGGAAACTGTCTGGGAATTTGAGTGGCAAACACAGCTTGGACTTTTTGTTGGTCACAGGAAGTGAGACCAGGGCTCCCTAGTTTTGAGAAACCCCACGTGCGAATTCTAAACTCGGGTAGGTTGGATCTGTACACCGTTACCTTTTCGGGGATGATGTGGTTGTGCTTCTCCACTAACCCCTTTGGTGGGACCATAGCCGCGTGGGTATGTGTCAAAACAGGGGGACCCCGACATATGGGGTGGGGTGACTTGTGTATTCCATTTAAACCAGGTGAATAGGGTACTCTCCAAAAAACACCCTCACTGTACGAAGCTAAAGGTGGAAAGGGTTAAACGTATGTTTTCTCACGGGGTGTGGCTCAGTCAGCAAAGAGGTCCAACTTCTCTGGATTCCAGTTCTCGAGTGGCACCCTTCTTCCCTTTTCTTTGGTCCCCAACCAAAATTGGTGTCAGCCCCAAAAAAGGTATCAAGTGGGCTATGTTGGCCTCACTTAACAGATCACCAACATGGGTTGAAGTGGGAGGTTGGCCCAGAACCACATGTGTAAACTGGTTAAGTTGCGCAAAGCACCCGATTTTTGTCGCCGGAGCATCGACCTAAAAGCTGGGATTCGAATCCTTTCGCAGAATGATCGAGTCAACAGAGAGGAAGTCTCGGCTTGCGAGTGGCACCCGAGGATTCGAATCCGATAAGTGATAAACTCGTGGGGACGGGAATCAGCAACCAGTGAATTGACAGGTACAAATATGTCTGCTGAAGGGTCTATTGCCATTCACAAGTCATGCTCATTAGTGGGACATCCGCCTCTTGAATATATAGATGAGTTAGAAACCATTGAACGGGTGCCTACTAAGTGAAACTATTGGCGTGGGTTGCCAGCATACCATGGGACACCAAAGGAGCCAACCCATTCTTGCAGGTCACCCAGGGAAGTCAAGAAGACCTTCAGGTCGGCTGATTGTCTAGGTCGATGAATACATGGAAGGCTAATGTCCAATGCTCTGAACGGACAACGCGGAAAACTGGTGGTCAGTCGGTCAGTGGGCTAAGAAGCTGGGGGTCCAACTTTGCTTTAGGGAGCCTTTGGGAGAGACTTCGGATCAGAGTTCTCGATGTCGCCCCCGGCGCAGCGCGCTTTCAGCGCGCGCAGCGCGCGGATCGACGAAGGACGCGGCTCCTGGAGGCCACGGTGATCACCTGCTGCAGTGCCATGAGCGCCTGCCTGGCGCTCGCCTGGCACTGCACCTTGTGCCTCGGAGTTCCTCGGAGCTCGGCTCTCGTCAAGAAGTGACACGCCCACGCAGCGAGGTAGGATTTTTGTTGCATGTGCTATATATATATATATATATATGACTATGCATATATATATAGAGATATGTATGTATCACTATTTATGTACATATATATATATATATGTATATATATATATACGCATTATACTTCTGTAAAGATATACAAATATACAGACCAATACAGGCCGCTGGATTTCAACAGAGAATAGGGAGCCACCACAAACATGGGCGGAGGACATGAATTCCGGATGCAAGTGATGACCACCCAAGGGTTCCTGATGACCATATGCGTGGTAGCCGCCCACATGGGGAGGCCGGGGGGGGGGGGGGGGAAATAGCATACCTACAGTTGTATTTGCGGCAACTGGGTTCGACTACAGGTTCACCATGCGTACCCAAACATGTAGAGGCCCCCTTTTCCAAGAAAGGGGTTGCACTTCCATGCTTCTTGGTGGTGTGATATGTATCCTTTTCGCAGGCTTTTTTTGGAGGCTGCAGGTGGAGCACTCATCTCCAAGCGGCAGATATTTGGAGAAGCTGTGTTGTGGGCCTGTGATCCACGTCCGATTGGAGAGACTGGTTCGAAGTGGTCTAGAGAACATGCAGAAAGGTTTTTGTTTTTTTCAAATCCGAAGATTATGTCCTCCATTCCTGCTTGGTGAAAAGAAACTCTAGGCAAGCTACCAGGTTACCAGGTTTACGCAAGCTGCCAAAGAAGCACGTGGTTGCTTCCAACTCGCTTTGGACCAGTGAAGGGACTTTTTAAGCGGTCCCCGGGAAGCTTCGCATTGTTCAGTGTTCATGGAAAGTCGATCTGCCAACTCGTGGCAGCATGCTTGTGGCAAGCTTCAGTGGGAAACTTGGTCAAATAGGGCCACGCTCCGCTTCAAGACCAGCACCCCCCCCTCCAACGACAAATTTTACCATGTCCAACATGCCAAGTTGTCCCAAGAACAGTGTTTTCGGGCTGCTGGTAGGCTTTGAAGTGACAAAGTAGACAGAAGGATGTCCCATGTATCACAGGCAACCATCTTCAGGCGTAAGTTTTCGGGAGGTCCGTTGGGCTTGGAACAACTCCTGTGACCCAGTGACGTCTTATGAAATGGAACACCTGCTCCCAATCTTCAGCTTCGTTTTGAGAACTCCAAAACGCAACCCAGCTATGACCAGCTAGGTGGACTTCAATTCCTGTCGGGTACGTTTAAGAGATCAACTGAACCGAGAGCCGTAGCTCTCGTTTCTGCCTTTGGTGCCAAGGCAAATTGCTGCGGAGATGCAGCGGTGCTTCCTGCAGCCAGATGATGCCAGCAACTCAAGCCAAGTTGGGGAATGGGGCTTAAACATGTTTCGTTGCCAATTTCTGACATCCCGTTCTCCCTTTTTGTTTGGGTTCACGACTTGAAATGGTGTGCGCCAGAGAGCAAGAGCCTTCCATTTGCAGGGTCCGGATATTTGAAGTGTCCCTGAGGGCGTGTTTCTGATTCCTTTTGGAAGTAAATCCAAGAGTGATTCAGAGTCAAAGCAAGGGGAGTTGGGGATTCTGCTTCTCAATTGTCCTCAATGGGCCCAAGTCGCAAATAGTCACCAGGTCGCATTGGCTTCCTGCTCGTCACCATGGCTTCTCTACCCTATGGCTCAGTGAACGGCCACATGGCTCTGTCTTTGAGTTGGGGCACCCGCCAAAATGGCCAAACGGTTTTCTTGCTGGTTTCCCTTCAAACACCAGAAACAAGAACACGGGAACTCTCAAGAAACAACCTAATCCAACAAGAACACGGGGAACCCTCCAAAGCCCACGGACTCGCATCTTAGCTCCGGGAGACAAGGCTCCAACCTGCTCACCGCCGCCTTCGCCAAAGCCCACGCGTGGGCAAACGCCATTGGCAGCAGCGGGGTGACGGGGCTCAACGTGGCCATGGCGGCGCCCCATCGACGCACTTAACGCTCCGGGTTTTGGAGGTGTTGGACCCCCCAAAAAAAGGCGTCGGGGTTCCTTTGGGTTTCCCGGTGTTCCTCTAAAAACACACAGAAACGGGGTGGCCTAAAGGACAGACACATGTTGGCTTGAGAACGCTCAGCTGCAGGAAACCAAAGCCTGGGAAACAGCTGCACCTGTTAGGGGGTTGGGGCTCACTCAGAGCTGACATCATGTGTCCCTGGGTTTCCCACAAAGGGTGTCTTGCCATCTGTCAGAATTGGTGTTATGCAACACACTGGTGATCGTTCCTTTCCCCGTCAAAGAGGGTCGCCATGTTTGCGATGTACATGCGACATCCAAGAACTGACAATGGTGATGGCTGGTCCCGGGGGTTCGTGAGAGTTGAGTCTTGGGTTCGAACTTGCATGAGTGATTGCGTTCGAACATATATATATATATATATACATATATATATATCAACCTTATCAACCTCTCCTTGAATGTCACTCTTGGGATATCAAACATGGTACCCTGCAAATGTCAGTTGTATCATGACTCATGCGCTTATTTCTCGCTCAGCATGTCCGTGAAATACGTGGATTGCTCGATCAATCACGTTTTATATTCAGCGAACCACCGTTTGCATGTGTTTCCAAAACGGTGTACAGCAGAGCAGGCAAGAAAGCTAAATAAAGCCAACCCACCATCCCGTGAAAAGTGCGTGCAGAGTCCGTTTAGCCCACAGCACTGGGTCCAGGAGCCACCAAAGCCTTGGGGGGGTCTTGAGCCGGAAACAAAACTAGGGGGTACACATAGGGATTTGTCCTAACGGCGCGACCGTTTACTGGAATTTGATAAGAGTTTTTTTCTGAAGAGATCCCCTGAGTAAGTATTGTTTGTGGCTCCTGAGACACCTATTGACTTTGTCAAGCTTGATTCGTCCAGGGTATTGGTATGGGCCGTGTCCGCAATTGTGCCATGGTCCAAAGACCTCCTTTACTGGGGTTTGACAGGGCTGGTCATCCACCTGGTGGTAAGGATCCTTAATAGTCCTTCTAATGATTCCTATTAAGGAATGACCATAGGCCGTCTGAGGAGTTTTTCCCATGGCTCATGTTGATTCTGACTCCAAAGATGAAGTCTGCCATGGCAGGTATGTCCGTGCGTCCGAGCGGCACAAGGCCTTGGATCTTTTTGCAAGGACCGAAAGACCGCTCTCATTTGGGTGAAAGTAGATGGATGTATGGGCAAGTGAAGCTGGGGTAGTGTAGCATCTGGCGGTCTCTAAATTTTGAGGGTACTTGTTTTGCATGTTTAAAGGGAAGCCAACAGGACAACCGCCGTTGTGGGGGGCGGGGGGGTTCCCCAAAAAAGGCATCCCCATCTGCTGGCACCCTGTACCTAGGTCAGATTCTCTGGTGCATGAGCCATCTCAGTGAGAAGGAAGCATTGTGGAGACGTCAGCTTGAGGGGAGGTCTGCTTGAGAAGAGTTTGGACTGTCACTCGGTGTCTTTCTTTTCTCTTGCGGAAAGAAAAAAGCGCAAGGTCGTGCTAGATTATGGATGGCGCATGTCAGTCGCAGGTTCGCCAGATCCAAAGAATTTACGAGATTCTCCCGGGTGTTCAGATGCCCCTTCGGAGTTGGAAGGCTCATACTAAAGGGGTAGCCTTCCGGTGCGCTTTGGAACACATGGAATCCATTCCGTTAGATAGTGTCCCTGCCACAAGAGCGAGCCTTCTGAGCGAAGCTCTGCAAGCCGGGTCTTGGTTGGATGACCCAAAAGGGTTTTGAAGCAAGCGCAAGGGAAGCGCACCGTGAAGATTCCGTGGTGCGAAGAATCGACCTGAATCTTGAACACTTGCCCAAAATTAGAAAGATCCAACCCTCCCATCCAATCAACCAGCCAGCCAGCCAGCCAACCAGCCAAAAGGAGCACATCCAGAGCCCCTTGCATCTGAGACAGGAGCACATCCCATGACCTTGTGACTTACAACACGGCTCTCCATGCCTGCGCCATGGGAGGCGCGCTGACTCTGAGTGCAAGAAATTTTGCGGCTGGGTGTGGCTCAAAATTAAACTGCGGCAAAGCGCAAGTTTTAGTCTACTTTTTCACTTAGGGCACCCCATTTTGGACCCTAATCTTGCAGCCACAGCCACATGGCTGTGTTTTTGAGGCTATCCCTTTCACTCAGGAAAACCAAACGGACAGCGACAATCAGAATTTGTGTAGAAGGTGAGCAGCATTCAGTCCCCCAGCATAGATGCGGTAAGAATCCTTGTAAATGATTTAATTACATGGTTTCGGGTACATCCTTTTATGTTCTCGAGTTTCATTGTGGATTTGGGTGTTCGCTAGGGCACTCGTTTGTCCGGGCTGGACCCGCTCAAAGGCATGTCTCACCACGCGGCAAGCACCGCCTCCCAGAATCAATTCGCCAAAGCAAAGAGGCCCTATTCGCTTTGCAACGGCCTGTAGTGTCCGCTTTGGAATAGACCAAAAGGATATGACCAATGGGGTCTTCACATGTCTCTCACTTTCACATGAAGAATAGTCGAGATAGTCTGGACAAGTGAACTTTAGTGCAGTAATGCTTGCCTACTTTGCTTTTGGATTCATTTCTCTATTCCCTTTAATCCGGAGCATCGGCATGGGCTAGTCACTTCCCGCACTCCTTGTAGTTGATGCGTTCCCTGGTCATCAACAACGTAGCAACGTGCTGCTGTTGTGCGACGCGATTCGGTGAAATTTTGTGGCGCCTGAATTGATTTGGTCAAACCCAATCTTTTCCCGACCGATTTGGAGCCAAAACGCGACTTCGTCAAGGAAAGTAGGGTAGAACCTGGATTGGGTGGGTAGCTACTGTAGTGTTTATTTCCCCTTATGTTCTATGTACCTTCCTCGAATGGCGTGTTTTGTCGTGAAGCCAACAGGCGAGCGGATCACAAAAACTTCACCGGAGGGTGTGCAACCTCACCTGGTGCATTGGGGATGACAACTCACTCACATCGTCTTTTAAGGTTGTTGGAGGTTTACAAAGACTATTTGAAAATATATATATATACATACATACATTATGTGTTTACATATATGTATATATATAATGTATATTGTACATATTACATATACACGTGCATATATGCACCCTGTGAAAAGGGTTTATGATATTGCCTGCACGTCTTGATGGGGGGCATACCCTTACTTCCACACCCATACCTCTTGGCAACATGTCTTTCTTGGCTTATGAGACCCAAGCAATTATTTTTTTCCGTGGCGTTTGGGCCCCCAAGGAATTGTCTCGGCGCTTCCTCGAGACTCGATCTCTCGAAATCGGGGTGAAATCTTTGTAACAGACTCGAGATTCGAGATCCTTGGGGACTGCTTGCGGACGATGTTTTTTTCTTTTTTTCTGCCCCTGAAACATGGCAGTGCGACGTATCAGTCATGGTTGAGCTTTCCAGCCTCAGGCTGGTGGCAGCTGGCCCTGGAGTTGCTGCGGCGAGCGCGGCGGAGGCGTTTGCGGGCGAACGCGGTGAGCTGCACGGCTGCGGTGGACGCCTGCGCCCGGGCCACGAAGTGGCAGCACGCGGCTCGGGAGAATCAGTCAGGGAAGTGCAGGGGGCGGGTGGGTCGGTTGGTCTTTGGTGGGGTGGTCAGTTGGCTGGTTGGCTGGTTGGCTGGTTGGCTGGTTGGCTGGTTGGCTGGTTGGCTGGTTGGCTGGTTGGCTGGTTGGCTGGCTGGCTGGCTGGCTGGCTGGCTGGTTGGCTGGCTGGCTGGCTGGTTGGTTGGTTGGTTGGTTGGTTGGTTGGTTGGTCAGTTGGTGGGTTGGTGGCTCCCTTCAGCTTCCCATGATTGAAGCTCCAAAAGCGGCAATTTGGTCGGAGCTCGCCAGCAAACTGGAACTTTTGAAGGGGAAATCCACTGACCCTTGAAGTAGCCGTTAGCCAGATCAGGGTGTTTCTGGAAATGATGTCACGATCGGTCACGTGAGGTTCATGGCTGGAGAACTCACTTTGATCCTCTTGGTGAAACAAATTTGAAAGGATGGATTCCAAGCCAGCAGTCCTCCGTCTCCCCTGCAAAGTACTGGAAGGATCCCAGCAAAGGGGAGACCTTGCCCAGGAGATACGCTCCGAGATATGTTTGTTGTTTTGGGGCTCCAAGAAAATCTGCGGGGGAGTAAGGGCTTCTGGCCGCATAGCGTTTGCACATACTGGCTGGGTTTTGTGGCTGAGCAAAGCAACTCGTGGCCATTTTCACCTTCAAGGAGCAGACGAGCAAATGGGAGATTTGCAAGAACAAGCCAGCACGCAAAGGCTGTGTAGCCAATGCAGATAGGCAATGGGTAAGTATGTTTTGGGTGCGCCTTCTTTTGAGGGCCGCCTCAGCTTGGTTCAAAGGAAAGCCCAAAGCAAATCAGTAGACGTCAGCTTCGGTTTCCCACTGGGGCGGGTGGGGCATAGCCGGGAAGAGTATGTGAGTGGGGAGCAAGCAGCTTGCATATTTGTCGGACGTTATTCCGGAAGGGTGACATGCGAGGTTGGAAAGTGGGGTGAAGTCAAACTAAAGGGCTGGCTTTTGCAGCATAGAGCATGCTATGCATGTTGGAAAAAGGAACCTCTATGTTCTCAAACATATCAATTGAAGCCTTCCCAGACACTACAATAATTGCGCATGTCGGTTGGTTACGAGGGTAGGGAGCTTGACGTGGGATGGCTAGGGATGGTCATCAAGCTCTTGATAGGGTTGGAAACGGAAGGATTCCTATGAAAAAAACCGCTACAGTGACCCTGCCACACGTAAAGCGTTCCCAGACCTGCCACATGGGCGTGTACCTATCCCCTTGGGAAGCAACACAACAGCTGCCGTTTTCTGCTCAAACCTTGTAGGGGAAGTCAGCCTTGTCCAACCTTTTTTCCCGTCACTCCTCCTGTTTTCGGGGGCTTTTCGGGGGGGCTCGCTCCGGTCACCCCGAAGGGGGCAATTCACCGGCAAGGTGCCCTTTTCCCCTTTTGTTGGGGAGGGTTCCTCTACTAAAATAGACAAAACCGAAGAAACAAAAAGTTGAGTAGCCTTATTCTAACCTCTCCACTGGAGGACCTAGCCGGGCAACCCTAGACGAACAGACGGGCCGGCTTGTCCACCTAAGAGGCGACCTGTTCGAGTCGAGGCGCTGGGACTCTTCAGCGTCAGCCGGGCCACACCCGCGATGAATGCCCTGCTGGCCCACCTGCACTGGGACGTAGCGTTGGAGCGCCTTGGGTTGGAGTCAGATCGCAGTGTTGTTGGAAAAATGGGGGGGCCGGGGGGCGCGATGCCCAAAGAGCCAACAAGCAAGTGTGGTGATGTGGGAAAAAGGACTATGACTTTAGCCTGACGCTCTCAAATGACATCAGTTTACACTTAGACTCACGAAACATCAACCAGGTTCCAAACATACGATTTGTAGCAGGGACAGAAGCTGAGGTATTGACTGAAGCCGAGGTTCATGTTCTCGCGTGCCGCGAATTGAAGTCCGCCTTCCAATCGCCTGGCCCTCTGAAATCTGGTGGCAGTCCTTTGAGATTTCTGCCCTTTTGGCTCAAAGGGTTTTCTTCACGTTCCTTGGCGACTTCGGAACCTGGGTCGGTCATTCTTCTCTTGGGGTTTGCCCCGCTGAATGCAGGGCGTTCCGCATTGAGCAACAGAAAGCTCCGCACAGCTTCAGGTAGGTTTGATGTGGTTCAGTTGATTTGGTTGATCAGGGCCGTCAAGGTGTCGCTTCTTCTTTGACAGCTATGGGGTCAATCTGCCATGGCCTGAAAGCCGAGCTTCTGGGTGGGAAGATTCTGCGGGGGGGGACTGAATCCCATCAACCAGAATATGTCGTCCTGGTGCGCGAAATATTTCGACATTTTTGCGGACCAGCTCCTGCCAGTTCTCCGAGAGCACCCAGCCTTGTGGTCCGAAGCCTAAGTTGGCTTGGATTGGTTTGAAGCTGTTGAGGGTAAATGGTTCACACCTCCATACCAATCCAAACAAGAGGCCCCAATCCCAACCAATCCTTGAGCCAAATCCCAGCCCACCCCTCCAACCCCTGACTCAATCTTCGAGGCTGAGGCAACCATGCAAGGATCCCAAGCCACCCCCAATCCCCTAAGTGAATCTTCAAGGCAACCCACTGAATCTTGAAGCCACCGCGCTGAATTCGAGGCTGCCCGCCTCTTCAGAGCCCGACCTCACCACCTGGAATCTCCTTCTGAGCGCCCGAGGTCCGCACCGGGTCGAGAGAGCCCATCCGCCTGGAGATCGAGTTTGAGGGTCTGAGTCGTTTTGTTAGGACCCCCCCTGGAAAGCCGTATGGCCATTTTTTTTGGCCGGAACCCATATTTGGATCGTTTTTCCCGTATGGTCATTTTTTGCTTACCGGTGGCCGTATTTGGCCGTCTGCAACCCGTATTTTTTCAACAAATTGTTGACAAAAAACCGTAAATGACCGTATGGTCTTTTTTTATGGCTCAAGGCGTATGGACAGAAAAAAACGTCATATATGGGTTTCCAGGCCCCCAACAAAGGGATAGATGGGTTGATCAAAAGCTCAGGTAAACATCGCAACCATCCTGTTTGGGCAAGCTTTAGACAGACGCCGGCAGGTCCAACAAGGCCGGTGCAATGCATACTCACAGAGGGCACTGCAGTCACACTAAAATATTCCTATACTAGGCATTGCGGGCCTTGCACAATATTGCCTCAGGATTTGTTTCGCGATTTGTCGTTTTGTTTGGCAGATTCGAATTGATATTCGTGTCAAGACCGCTTCAGCCAAGTCAATGACTTCGCCTCAGGAGGCATGCCATCGCGCCTGAGATCGGAGCTAAAGACAGTATTGATCAACCCCCAATATCGGTTTTCCTGCTGGTTTCCGTGACGTTTCACACCAAAAAGGGTACCCTCGAAGAATGACGGCCCCCTGGCAACCAGGATAGATATGTGTACCCGGAAATTCGGTCCCGGCTGAAATGAATCAACGGACCGCACTCCTCAAGACCGAAACCAGGTCGGCTCTACGCAAAGCATTCCTCCCCTTCCCCCTGGCATTCGGTTCTTCAAACAGGCCCAACGAATTCATGAATCCGTGCTAAGCTGCCAAGAGGTAGATGTATTTCAAGCCCCCATGAAGCCTCGCTTGCCGGAACCCCCATGAACCCTGAACCCTGTACCCCCCCAAACAAACAAACAAAAAGCCCGAACCCCAAGCGCTTTGGAAGCATGGGGTTGGAGCTATCGCAGTGTAAGCATGCGTCCGGAATGTGCCCGGCTTCGCTGCAGGCGCAAGCTGGCAGATGGTCTCCTGGCTGCTGCCTGGAAAGTCTTCAGGTCACAGTTGGTTCCCTGCGAAACTGCAATCTTGGGAGTCGCTTGGTTGGCTTTTGGACCTAGGATCTCCTTTAAAATCCATCTGACAGCTTCAAGCTACGCCGAGTATGGATGATGGAGACTGCTTCGCAGAAACCTTGATTGCCCTATGTTGGAGATGGAAAGGTGGATGTGTTAAATTATGATTGCCCCTGTTCATGTATCAAACTGGTACGACAAATAGCAAGTCAGCACAGTTTAGCTCCCGGTTCACAGGCCCTCCTTGCAGAGGGGATGCGGTTTTTTGGCAGCGGTTTTCTTGGAGCGACTTGTGGCAAGGGTGCCATCAAAACCGTGGTTCATTCATACATTCATTTGTTTGGGATAGCATCTTCCTGTGGGGAAGCAATGAGCCTTTTTTGGCTCCCTGTGAAAACTCAACTTGGCGGAAGCTGGGTGTCCTATTCGGACAAGCATCGCAATATAGCTATGATGTTTGATAGCCCCTCAAAGAAAGGTTGTGCACATCAATCCCGGCGTAAACGATGGCCTTCAAAGGAGATTAACACCCGTGTGCTCCAATACTGATTCAGAGCGTGGGGCGAAGGCTTTTGGGCTGCAGTGGCGTCCCTGCTTGTGGCTTTGCATCCGTGGGTTGCCATTTGTGTTTGCCTTTATGAAGAAAACACACATATGATTTGCGGCGGACGCTTTTCAGGGCGTGAGTTGTTCCAGGCTTCCGCGAGCAGAAAGGCTTGGCGCCGATCACTTCACCTGGACAGCGTGCGCAGCTTCAAGGGAGATTCACACAAGAAGCCCATTTCAAAAGGCGTGTTTCTTTTTGGTTTGCCTCTGCATCCCAAAGTGGGTTCTCCATTTTGAGGTAAAGGCACCTTGAGTTCGAACTTGAACCTTGAGGTAAAGCTGCCCAGAGTGAGGAAAGTTTACCAAGGCTCTTGCATTTGTTTGCCTCACTGGCCCTACGAGGAACACCTATCTCAAAAGAATGCTTAACCATGCAACACCGTACTAATGTTTATTTGATGCTATGGCTTGATTGAAGCAACCGTGCTATTGAGAGCTCGTGCTGAAGTACTACTCAACGGTGACTAGACTAGGAACACAATCCCCCCAGCTGTGTGACTTTCCCTGGTAAAAGTAACAAAGTACAGCAACCAAAAAGGAAGAATTGTTTAGGCCAGGCTGTGTTAGGTTTTACTGTTCATGGGTCGAAACGTTTCACTCTGCTACGGTTTTACTTTTACTTTGGAAGAGTAAACAAGGCAACTAGAACTGTCGGCAGTGCTTGTTTTCTTGTTCAGTTGTGTTTACTTCTACACTATTCCATTGTTGCTGGCGGATAGTGAAACCGTAAAACTACTCCAAGTGAGAAAAACTGCTCTTTTGCATGGCTTGCATTTGTAGACTTCATTGGCTCTGAAAGGAGAAAAATATGGGTTGGGAGGAGCGTTGATATATGTATGTATTATAGACACATGTATATGTATGTCCGCTTTGCGCCCACGGCTGCTCGGAGGCATCGTGACCAAACAGCTATGTCAATTTTGCTCAGCGCGATTTTGCCACGTTTCTTGAGTCCATCTAGGGATCTAGGGGCCTGTTCGTTCTTCAAAGGCCACAAGACATGGGGCCCCGTCTTTTTCCAAGCCACTAACCTGCTTTTTGACGCCCCGCGTACCTCTCGGTTAGCCAGGGAGTCAAGCTGACGAGCGAGTCCCCGTCGCATGGGCCTCCTCCGCGTCTAAGACTCCAGCAGCCTCTAAAAAATCCATCCAAGGGGTCCCCAAGAAACGCCTCAGGACCTGTTGCCTCTAAAAAATCCCAAGCCGGCGGGAAGGAGGGGAAGTTTCAGGGGGCGAGGGGGTAAGATAAAATTCCCGAATCAGGAGAGTGAGAGAGAGATTGACTGTGCATGACACCCGCGCAGAGTCTCGCAGAGGCCTATCTCAACCAACGGGTCCCCCCCAACTTCAGGACGGCGGCCGCCTTGATGCTGCCCTGGCCTCGCTCCTTGGCGCTTCTGGGGATGCCAGGCTTGGCGCCTGCGGCGGCCGCGGCGGTGCTTGGGCGGAAGGGGAGGAAGTAAGGCTGTGGCTCTTTCATTGCTGGGCTTCCATTTGCTTAAGAAGAAGAGTATTGTTGATTTTCCCCTTTTGGCTCTAAAGGGAATCTATCACTATAATTGTACTTTCCCAGGCGGGCGTATTTTGCATTCGTATGCAGCTTGCTGCCTGAGTGTTTTTTAATGTTTGCCTTTCTCGGCTTTTGGCAGGGGAAGTCTGGCCCAGTAACCTCTTTGGGATTCCATTGCAAGGCAAAGCCCTTTGCCACCCCGAAACATTCATCCAATACCCCCCGACATGGCTTGGTGCACAGAGCCAGCCGCCTTTGCTGGTTTCGACACATTCGGCAGCACGCACATAGCAGAATAGTCTTTTACAAGAGGTCTGTGCGCCAAGCCATGTTTCTGTTTGGGTGAAGCGGTATTAGCATGCCTCCGCAGTCGTGTGGCACAAGATGCCGCAAGCAGGGGAAGGACGAATCAGGAAAAGGGAAGGGAGGAAGAGAAATAGTTGGAATGCCAAAAGAAGCGGGAAAGGTGACAGGAGTGGGGGCAAGGGAAGAAAAGGATTCAGCCAAATGGGGATTCAACATGCTCAACACAGCACAGAGCCTCAAAGCCAACCATCCATCATGCACCATGTCACTTACGACATGGCTTATTTGGGTAGTCCCCAGTTTTGGTAAAGAGGAAGGATACGAAGTGATGCATGTCCACTTCTCATGTTCCAAATAGAAAGGAGGCTTCAAGAGCAACACCCCCGACAAAAGAAGTGCTTCAAAAAGGCCACCAGGTGTAGAAATGGGCCGAGCGGAAGCCACTAGCATCGAGCCAAGTCCCAGGGGACCGCTGTTGGGTGAGGGTTCCACCCTCATCCCTTCCACCCGAAAAGCCGAACAGGCGTCCAAGTATGAAGCCCCAGCGAGTTCGGGGTCGGTTTGCCTCGGAGCGAGCCATAAAACCCACGGGGCGTCATTTGGAGAGCCATGGGGCTCAGCTTCCAAGTGTCCTTTCCACCGGGGTCGAACCTCACACGGGGAGATGAGCAAAAGGATCACAACGCTCTGAGTCACCACTGGTGCTCTTATTCTATTTCTTACCAATTGACTATGCCTCTAATTGATGGTTTTAAAAAAAATGGACCTCGTTGATGTTTGTTGCTTAATCCAGTCGATGAGAACACGAGTTGGGACCCTTTCTTTGGGGCCAATCCACTCCACGGAAAGTGAGCGTTCATGCCTTAGCAAGCCCGTTCAACGGGTTCGAACAAACGGCCCCCGATTTCGGAGCCATGAAAAAGGGACGCCCAAGTGCCGTTCGGTTCGCAAGGCAACACAGCCTATGCTCCGTCCGTGTCATTGGATGCAACTTGATCGAACCTGTACCGTTAACCCCGGATGAATAATCCTCTAACATAAATATTGGTTGACACTCAAGCCAGGACCCCCCAATTTGTTTGGCAACTACCCCCATTTGCCAGCCATGAGGTCATTCCAGACCCATTTGCCAGCCATTGGAGGGGTTTCTGGATGGGTTTTGCTCGGCCGCGGGCGGCTCGTTTTCGGGCGTCGTTTGAGGTGATGAAGACCTGCCGCTGGCGGCACGCGCTGCAGGTGCTGCGGAGCTTCCGAGCAGCTGGTGGCCAGGTGGAGGCCTCGGGGCCCAAAATGTTTGGTCCCCGGGGGGCCCCCATTTGCACCTTGGTTTTTGGCTTATTGCTATGTCCCCCAGTAGTGCCCTTCTCTCCCCTTTTTGAGGGAGGGTTCCAAACTACTAAAATAGACTACCGAAAAAGAATTGGTACCCTTATTCCAACCTCTCTACTCTACTGGAGGACCTAGATTAGGAGCCAAAAGCTCTACACCGCCATTTTGGAGGAGCCCCACAATTGTTGGGTTTGACGCATCCTCAGGTGATAGGAGCACTAAGTCTGGCGAGCTCACGCTGGATAAAATGAGCGATGTCGCCCAGGTCCCTTAAGGGCCTCGTTTTGGACGTCGACTTTGGCCCGATTCTTTTTGGGAACTCGAAAACCCCGGTAAACCTGCTAAGAAACAAATGAGTGCAATTCTTCTGACAGTCGTGCGATTGCCAGTTCCATGTTGTCAACAAGAAGCAAAAACGGTGCTCGGCAGTCTTCGGTTGCTTCCTTTGGGCTTTGTTAAGTTTTGTTTCCATCGGCCAAAGGATCCATCAGGATCCCTTAGTTCTGAGAAGTTGCCCCCCCCCCAGTTTTTCGCAGAAGGCTACGTCGCCACGATGCTTGAGCCATGCGTTGCCGGGCCGGATTTCGGTGTCGGTTTCGTCAAAGCCTACGACGGGCTGGCGACCGACCGCACCCATGAAGCGAAGTTCATGTCAACTCTTTGACGCATTTTGCCAAGGGATGTTAGGACTTTGACTTTTTGCCCTCTAATGGGTTCCATTGAAAAAACTAAAAGTTAGTCACTTTCAGCAGGGGAGCAGAAAGCAACCGAGAATTGCAAAACACGACTTCCCAGGCCATTTTTCGCCCTGCAAACAATTGCCCTGAGGCAGATGCAAGTCGATGATTCAATTCCCCCATGTATGTTGGTTTCTTCCTCCCCTTGACAGCTACCGGAAATTGTGGCCAATCTGTGCGTATGTCGGGTTTACCCACCAGGATTGAAGTACAGCAGTGCATAGTCCTTTGGATTCCGCTGGTTTGGGGTTTTATGCCATCCACCTAGCAGCGGAACCCGTCCATTTCCAAAAGCTCAGCTGACGGCCTCTGCCAGAAATGGGCGCCTTCGCCGCTTTGGTATCACTCTTTGCTTTTGGTTTGGGTTCATTTTTTTTGGGTACCAGTCGGTTTTGAGTATGACCTCAATTTATGGACCCGACACGTCAATTGCCAAGCCCAGGTAGATGAAGGTTAGTAAGAGACACACCCAACTATACAGTTGGGCGCCTTCGCCGCCATCTCGATTCTTGAAGCATGGTTCCGGGGATCGACCATTTGTGTACCGATCGCCTTTGGTTCTGACGGCCAAGTTGGCCAACTTCGCGTCGCGAGCGAGGTCTTGTGCCTGGAGGCTGCGCTCAGAGCCTGCGACCAAAGGCTCGCGCTTCACCTCTGAAGTGGCGGGTTTTCGGTTTAAACGTTTCCCAAAAAAAGGGTTCCCTGGTTCCCTCAAAAAGGGATAGACCCAAATTGGTGTTTTGGATTGGCTTGGATTTGAAGGCCTGGTTCCTGCAAGAGGGAGAGAAAGGACCCTAACCTCACCACCAAACCACCAATGATTATATATATATATATATATCCTCCTCCCATGGAATTTTATGGGGTTCTCTAGTTTGTACCACTTCCCTCTAAACACCCTCTGGTGGATTCCATGTGATTGGAGGGAAGGCTAGTTTGGTTGACAATAGATGAATTTGACCGCTTTCAGTTTCATGCGAGTTTACTATATATATATATATATGTTGCTTTCAACAGGGCACCGGTTTTTCAATCATGCCAGTCTTGCTTGATGTTTCCGTCGCTGTGCTGAGCCCTGCCGTGGGGAAGTAGGAGCAGCATCGTGAAGGGGCGCACAAGAACGTGTACTGCGTGGTGATTGGGGGGGGGGGGGGGGGCGTTTAAGCAATCTCGGCTTGTGAAGTGATGTCCGGCCTTCCGCGAAAGTCCATCAGTCCCAGGAAATGGCCCGGCGCTTCTCTGCCGCCTGTGGCATCGGGCAATGGAACCAGCCTGCCATTGATTTGTTCTGGCCACGTGGTTCATTAGATTGGCTGTTTCTAGAGGTTCTTAAAGTCAGGAAATAGGGCTGTTTCCCTTGAACCCGCTTAGGGGTGACTTTGATGATTGCAAACACAGTGACGCCAGTATCGCACGCCCACCGAAAAGTTCCATGATTGCACTATACCAGGCTACCGATTTGGGGTACCTATTTTTGACCCACAGCCGTTCGTTCCGGCTTGCAAGCCCGCAAAAATGTGATCCGTCCCTCATTGTGCCATGGCTATGAGGCTCATGCCACCAACATCCACCTTCCAATGTGAAAGCATCCGGGGCGTCTGATTGAACGTCATGATTTTGGGGAGCCCGGAATCAAATGTCCAGCAATTTCCGGGAAGCCCTTTGTTGGTTGGTTTGCATAAAACATAGAGGGCCCTGGTTTAGATGGGGTTTCTTCCATTTACCAGGGCCATCTGGGTATGGGTCAAAATTAAACCACCCGGGGACCGCAGGTTTGAGTCCATGTTTCCATTTATCAGGGTTCCATTTTGGGTATGCGTTTTTGACCCACAGCCATCTATTTTCCCAAAAGGCCACCTATGGAGTCTGCCCCGCAGGCAGTCGCGGATCTGTGCGCAGATCTGCCCGGAGTTGGGCCGGGCGGCCTTTGGCCCTTTGAGCTGCGTGAGCCGCGCTTCGGCCAAAGCCCAGCAGCCGGGGCTGACGGATCCAGGTAGTGCTTGGCGGTGCCTACAATGAGTGGTGTTTCCCTTTGGAATCGTTTCAAACTGCGCCCAAAAAAGTGCACCTCTTCAAAGAAGCACCACCTCGTTCAGGCCCCGAAGAGGGCTCCAGGGTTCGTGGATCCATGTGGGCAGTTGTTGGGTTGTTTCGAGGGGTTCCGAGCGGGAACAAACAGAGGTCTGGACCACTGGAGCTGGGAAACGCTGACAATCCACATGCAGATGTCCGCGTTTAGGGGGTCATTTTCTCTACGGAACCCATCAGCTATTGTTGAGTGTGGTTTGTGTTGCGTCAAGGGATTTACAGGGTAAATCTTTAGCTCCCGCTGCTTTGTGCAAGTAGCTGCGTGCTGCGGAGACTGCCTGATACCAGGGGCGGAGTGCGGAAAATATGCGAGAGTTAGATCGGACCCTCGCAGCTGTAGGTCGGCGTCATTTGAAACAAAGATAAGCAAAGGGTCATTGTGTTTGGTTGTGTATTTGTTGCTCAGCCTCCGTCAAAATGTTTCGTCCTCGTGCTTTACGATTGCAAGAGACGAGGCAGAAACGAGAATAGCAGATTGAAGTTGATTCCTTCGTGGCCCTGAAAACTGCTTGAAGTTCCTCAAGAAGAAGGGCCGCAGTTTTTCTCAGGGCCGGGGTTGAGAGAAGAAAGATGGTGATCTGAACCTTGCAAGGCTGAATCCGCACCAGCGAACCCCGTTCGACCTTTCATCCCCAGGCCTCTGGCATACACTTTGACATCTTGCAGGTGACCTGAAATGATAGAAATGAGAGAAGTACTACCAGATTGCAGGTCACATAAATTAGAGAAGTACTACCATATTGCAGCTTTCACATACTACTACCATATTGCAGCTTTGAGCTCCCAAAAAATGACCCTACGTCTATTTCAGGGAAGGCTCCTGAAGGGTCGACTGCCAGGAGATGGAGCGCAGGGGGGCCCCAGCTGCTAAAGGCCCAAAGGTATGGTCCGTGTCTCTCTGGCGTCACTGTTTTTGCCATGATCAAAGTGAGCCCCTAAGTGGGTTAAAGGGAAACCACCACATTTTCTGACTTTGAGAACCCCCAGAAACAGTGAAAATAGTGACCCCAGTCTCTCTCAAGGTGTTGGGCTCGGCTCTTGGTTTGATACCTTCCATTTGGTGAAGAGTTGGTTTTATTGTCCCTTCTTGGTTTCAAAGGGGATCTACCACTACTGGAAATATTTATATTGTTTCCAGGGGACGAAAAAGCAAAAGGAGGATACAGGATTGGTTGGGACCAGGCCAGCTGGGTTGAGGGGATAAGGGCCCCCATCGGGTTGGTGTTGCAGGCCCTCTGGGTTGGGGGAGAAGGTTGTTTTTTTTCTGGGGGAAATCTTCGAGCAATCGATTGTTGCTCGATCCCTTGAGCAGGTTGCTCTTTCCATGTTGGGCATTGAGGCAGCGTCCGTGTTGTTCTTTAGACCCATTGGATCTTCCCATTCATGTTCAATACCCCCCCCCCAGACTGGGTATCAAGAAAGACAGACAATGCATTTGGAGGATGAGACGGTGATGGGCCCTTTGCAGACCTGCGAACGACTGCGAAGCTCAGGCCAAGACCCTCTGTCCAAGTTGGACCTTCACCAGCTGGTGGCGCAGTACCTCTCCCGCCAGGCTCGATGCGGTGGCCAGTTGGGCGTGGCTACTCGTTCAGGCTCAGACTTTTTCTCGGAAACCGGCTGTTGCCGGGATCCTTACTCATCTCTTCGTTTGGCAGAGCCCATTTGGGTGTTACTGGGGACGCTTTGTTGGAAATCATCGGATTTACGTCAACATTTGTGAGGATGAGGGAAACCGAAGGCAAGGTAATCACCTGCAAGAGGTGCTTCGAAATTTGGACTCGGCGACCAAGAGGCAAGCAAGGGCACAAAGCAGAAGATGGAGACCCTGAGATTGGAAGATGTACCCGGTTCTGTCGTACCCTTTGGCGGAAGCTTGTCCAGTTGTTGCCGGATACTTCTGGAAGCGGAAAGATGCGGCTGGTGAAAACGCGGTGAAAAAACTGCTTACAGCTCCGAGCTCCTAATCATACAAAATGGACCTTGGCTGATTGAGCCTGAGCTTGTGAACTTGAAGTTAGGGTTTGCCTGGCCTCTTGGTTCAATTGGACCGGGAGGTTTTTGGGGTCCCTGCGCTTTTCCAAAAAGCTTCAACCGACAACTTCTGCTTCTGCGTTTACCGTTGGGGTGCGAGTTTGTTTGATGCAGGAAACCGAAGGGACTGGCAATGTTGTAGTTTGTCCATTGCGGGAGGGTACTTGGAAGATAGGAAATCCTCTTACAGGTAGCCCCAGTCAGGTGTCAGGTCAGTGGGGGTGAGGGGTAACCCCCTTTGTGCCTGCGCGCGTGGCCTGCGCTAAGGAGGGCGTGAGCCCGCAGCTGGGCGCCCGCATCGCGAAGGCGCTGCAGGAGGCGCTGGGGATCGAATCGGTCGGCGGCTGACGTCCAAATTTTCCGTCGAAGCTCCGCCGGACGAACAGCCGGAAGCTCCCGGAAGGCCGATCGATCCCGTACATGGAACCAAGTGCAAAGGCTTTGGTCCCAGAAGAGCTTCCATGGAACTGCCGGGAGGGTGCAGTGTCCACTAAGGCGGAACCAACTAGAAAGTCGCTTTTTGTAGGAGAATCGTCTAGTGGATGTACTTTCCCGGAGCCCAAACAAAAGGTCCACCAAAAGGAGAGTGCTCTAATGAAGGCATTGTGGGTATTTGTTCTGAGTTTCTAGACGCATTTGCCCATAGCCCCGCACATATTTACGCTACTCTGTAAAGACCACCATGGGTTGAACCAGCTGTCATTGTCGGGACAGCCCATTCACTTGGAAGTGCCACATCTTCGATTGTTTGCCAATTGGTGCAAACCTGTGCTTGATTTGGCCAGCAATCCTTCCCCAGAATTAGCTCCCCTCTTCGTTTGTTTGCTGTTTTGGGGTCCCTTTGCTTTCCGTTAACCTGGCAAAAAAAGTTGTTTTTGCTGGGGTCCTAATTCCAGCCTAGAATCAAGCACTGCTTGGACTCCTCAGTATGGCCTGGAGAGCTGTGGGATTGCCCAAGGATAGCCCCATCCTTTCCGTCACATACTGTCTTGCCGGCATAGAGCCGCAGCACCTCAAGAGTGATCTCGTGTGGGCCCTCCCCCAGGCTACCATGGAAGCTTTCAGCACCCTTTTGGAGGACTTGCTTCCAGGTACAGTGGCCTGGATGGGGATTGAAGGGACATGACTTGTTAGGCGAGTGTTGTGTGTCCATCTGGAGATGTTGATGTGATTGGGGTTGTCAGAGGTAGTTTGACCCAACCCACTGTTTCTCAGGTTCCCACAATTAATGTGATGGCTTGCGCATTTTTGCGGGCCAAGTTTGATTTGAGTTTCACCCGGAAACGATCAACCTTCGTGAAGGTGACGATATGGGTGTGGGTCAAAAATAGGTACCCCAAATGGAACCCTGGTAAGTGAAAACATGGACTAAAACCTGCGGTCCCCTGGTGGTTTGATTTTGATCCATACGGGGGGAGGGGAAGACACTTGATCATGTTAAAAACTAGAACCACGAGTGGCCCGAAAGCATAATGGAAAGTGACCAAAGACCAGCAAAGCGAGCCGGCATGCAGGGGTGCCAGTGGAGTGGTTGCTCAAGAGTTGGTGTTGCGTGTGTGCGTGCGTGCGTGCGTGCGTGCGTGTGTGTCACAATTGCGCACGTGCGTGCGCGTGTGCTACCGCGGATATCTGCAAAGTTTGCCCCTCGGTGACTCATAAGCTTCGGTGTTGCGAGCTCTATACAGGTGTTACTCTGCGCAAGTGCTCGGCCCAAGTGTTCAGCGCAAGTTGCTCTGCGGGTTCAAGTACTCTAAGCAAGTTGCGATGCGCAAGCGCTACGCAAAAGTATGCTGCGCAAGCTCGGGACAAGTTTCTATGAGCAAGTTCTCCGAGCAAGTTCTCTGCGTGCAGCGCTGACCGCAACATGGCAACCTTTCGATTTGAGCCGGAGCTACGAATGCACCCTTTGTGAGCCACTTTCGCGCTGCTGACCGCGCCGCCTTAAGAGGCTAACTAATTACTTTCGTGTCCACATGTCTCGTGCAAGTTTGGCTGTGTGATATCTCGTGCAAGTTGTTCTCGTGCAAGTTGGCTCATGCAAGTTGGCTCGGGCAAGTTGGCTCGTGCAAGTTGGCTCGTGCAAGTTGGCTCGTGTAAGTTGGCTCGTGCAAGACTCGTGTAAGTTGGCTGTGCAAGTTGGCTCGAGCAAGTTGGCTCGTGCAAGTTGGCTCGGGCAAGTTGGCTCAGTTGGCTCATCTCGTGCAAGTTGTTCTCGTGCAAGTTGGCTCGTGTAAGTTGGCTCGTGCAAGTTGGCTCATGCAAGTTGGCTCGGGCAAGTTGGCTCGTGCAAGTTGGCTCGTGCAAGTTGGCTCGTGTAAGTTGGCTCGTGCAAGACTCGTGTAAGTTAGCTGCGCAAGTTGGCTCGAGCAAGTTGGCTCGTGCAAGTTGGCTCGTGTAAGTTGGCTGCGCAAGTTAGCTCCTGCAAGTTGGCTCGTGCAAATTCGCTCGTGTAAGTTGGCTCGTGTAAGTTTGGCTGTGCGATAAGGCTGGTGCAAGTTGGCTCGTGCAAGTTTAGCTGTGTGATAAGGCTGGCGATTTTACCGGAAGAACCCTTTCGCAATGCTTTCGGGGAAAAAATGTGTTACTCGGTGAACCCACACATCAGGAGACACCACCTGAATATTGACAGCTCACCGCAGCACATGGGCGGGTTCCAAAATGAGACACTCCCTTTGTCGAATGGATTTGAAAGGTGATGCAGTTCAGAACCTCATAGAACCTCAAGGCCAAAAGCTGCTTAGAGTTGGCATTTCTCCCAGAAGTTTTTTGGTGGAACCTCACTTTCTGGTTGTTTTGGGCTTTCAAACACTGGGGTGGTTTCCCCAGCCGTTGAGACTCCCCTGACGGGCCAGGCCGGCACCTTTGTGGGCGACAAGCCTGCGGGCGGCTACAGGTAGCCGCGA